TGCAGCATCTGTATGACGATAGCCCGCCAATGGATGGTGAGTTGACAACTATGTGTCTTGGGCGGAAGCCGAAAAGCTGACCTTTTAGTCGCAACGTATTTCAAACACTCTATGCCTGTTCTGCGTGTCGATGCTCAGTTCACAGTCATTGAGGCTGCACTCAAAGGCTACATGAAGTGGAGAGCAAGCAGCACCCAGCAGAGCTTGCCAGACTACGTAGGTGATGTAGACTCATGTATTCGAGCCAATACTAACCTACTTATAGGAGCAACAGCGTGCTGCACTAGAGAGGGATTTGGAGTCGTGGTGCACCAAACTTCTCGAGATGAAGTTCGAGGATCCTCTGATTCGAAAGAGAGTTTTGCAGTTATTGGTCGCCTTCTCAACAACTGCACTTGACAAGAACCCAGGCTTCATGCTCAAGGTTCTCGAACACATTTTGATGACCTGGCCGTCGCCCCAGCCGGAGCACCGTGCTTTCAATGAAGCGATCAAGGACTTCCAGTCTGAAAGCATGGTGGAGTTGCAGAGACTAGCCTCCAAGGTTCCTGACCACTTACTCGCTGTCTATGACCAAATCGAGGCGAAGGTTAACGACATGATCTCGTCTGGTACTCTGGATGAGAAACGCCAAATCGCTTATCAAAGCTTCCTCTTCATCATCATTCACCGAGCATCCAACATCGACCCCTCCAAACAGGTTGAACGCCTCCAGCAATTCATCAAGCCTGTCACATCCTCATGGCAAAACCAAGAGCTGAAGAATGCATTGTCGTCGTACTCTGGCTTTTGCGAATTGATGGCCTTGGACAAGGCGAAGAGATACTTGATGAGCCATCGCGTTCATGAAGTCAAGGAATGGGGCTCCTGCGAGTTGGATGCGGAGGGTTTGGCTCTGCAGGCCGAACTGGAGGAAAGACAAAAGGTTGGTAGAAACTCGACACATTCGTCGCGGTGGTATGCTGACCTGTCTACAGATGTTGCCACTCCGCCCTACCAAATCTTTCTTGTCATTTTCTGTCGAGAAGCTTGAGAAGACGTCAACGCCATTTCAAGTCTCGTACCAGCTATGGAATGATAGCTTCCCGCTAATCCTTCCGGACCTTTTGCAGTTCCTCAGGTAAAATTTCGCGTAATCGCTCATGATATTCGTCGACTGACAAGCTTTGTAGCCATGCTCATGCCTCGCACAACCCGGATAACTGGACAGAACTGCCCAACGAGATGAAGTCTGTTGTTGGCAATGTGCTTAGCGACCGTTTCTGGCAAGCAGGCATATCGGAAGGCAGCAAAGATGAGTTCTACGCGAGAGTCATGGATAAGAAGAACACCCTCGAAGGTCTTGCGTCGACAATCCGCGGAACGGTACGATTCGTTAGGGAAACTTGCTACGCGATCATCTATTGCATGAGTCGTTTGGAGATGCAGTTTTACGGCTTCAGCGAGCTGCCCGGTCCGCTTGCGCAAGCACTCTTCCAGAACTCATTCCACCTTTCAGCACATCAGCAAATTAATCTGCTCAACCTCGTCAGGTATCTTGTGGATGACTGTCCCCTCGAGCAACGAGAGCATTTCCTACCTCCACTTTTAGCAGCCTGTTTCCAGCAAATGGACGCCAAGATCAATGCCGAATGGGAGAACTTGGAACGTCAGCAGGCGATTCAGGCAGCTGCTGATGCTCTGACAGAGGAGATGAAGTCGGAGAGTATCTTGCGCCAAGTCACTTACACTGCAGTCATCATGGTGGCGGATTTCCTGGACCCTACGAAAAGGAGTAAGTTTTTTTCTTCTTCTTTCTTCTTCCTGGACTTGACCCTCGTCCATCTCCCCTTTCTTCCTCGGTTAGATTGTCGCCGTCCCCCCTCGCTTCTCCTTCTCCAGGATCCCTTTGGGTCGCTCAGTAGACTACTTGTCTGCTACCCCGCTCCTCATCCTCCTCATTTCCCTGTGTGCCTCGGCTGGGAGCAGATGCTGGTGGAGATGGCGGTGCTGATTCCTGGATTTCGGAGAGACGGTAAACATGGCGAATAAGCTGACATGGATTTCTAGACCCCGCCCCATTGAGATCTCAGAACGGTCAAGAGCATGCACGGAAGTATCCATCACTTAGGAAGTTTTGCTTGATGCAGTCGACCGTTGTCGAGCCACTGCTACTCTTCTGCACGCACGCCATTCGTATGCGAGACACTCGTTGCTGCAGCATAATTCTGCGAGTGTTCCGATCCATCGTCCCAGACTTTACCGTGGCTGAGCCACTGTCGCCGAAATCTTTACCTCAGGATGGCGCTGAGGCGGCACCGTCTAACAGGGACCCATACCTTGATACCACGCCAGTATCTGCGGAAGCAGCCACGGCCATCAGGGAATACATAGCCTCGGACGTGCTCCGGGCTTGCATCACCTCTTTCCATGAGCCTTACTTTGTAGATCTACAAAAGGACTTGGCGTCTCTGATCGCTGCCATAGTGGTCTACTATAGCCCTGTCACGAGCACCCCGCGCGACATCCTCATGTCTCTGCCCAACATTAGGCAAGCAGACCTTGACAGACTCAATGACTTTGTGGCCAAGCCAGCCTCACACACGCGGCAGCAGAGAGCACTTGTGCTTGACCTGCTCAAGGATCTTAAAGGAGTTAGTATTGCCGAGATGGGAAAGCTTCCTAAGAACAGTGGCTTCGGACACAGCAAGAGGTCAAATCGTAGCAAAATGGCTCAAGAGTTTATGACACCGGCCAGCGAGTCGAGAACACGGGGCGGTGGGGTTACTGATAGGGGGCGTGCCACACCAGATGCCTTGGAGGGAGTAGCTGGCCTTTTTGAGGGCTGAGAAGCCACCGGGAACCTGTCTCGAGGACGGAAACGCACCGTTGTCCGGCATAGGCTGTATGCAAATGTGTGCCCCGCCTCGACCCGGCCCTGTGGCTAGCAGTTGGAGGATGGTAATCCAACGATCTTGACGAGCCGAGGTGGGCTCTGCCAGAATACCGCTAGGACTGGATAACTAGAAAAAAGAGTATAGACAAGTCGTGGGTTGATTGGATGGACTAGGATTCCACCCATGGTTTGGAGGATTGAAAAGATACCAGGTTTTCCCAAAAAAAAACCGCAGTCTCCCCCCTTCCTTTAGGCTTTACCATGCCGTTGAGCTGATGATAGGATGAGTTACGGATACAACAACGGTGAAATGACAGTGATCTAGATCAAATGTGACGCACATTCAATATACAACGTACTTGCCTGGAGACTAACAGGCAACACTGGCAGCCTCTGCTCAGGCCTTCCCAGAGGGAAAGGCCCGTCATTGCGTACATTTGACAGCGTCGGGAGTTGAGATGGAAGGACTTGGTGGTCGGGTGGGATGCGGCTGCAGTGCTGCAGACTTGCTGCAAGTGCTTGTATGTATGTAGTCCGCAAGCATTTCCAAACTGAGATAGCTTCTCATCCCGGGATCCGGAAGAAGAGGGACCCTCCCTCTCCCTCCTCCCTCCCCCCCTTCCATATCCACCTCCCCTACCCTCCCCTTCCCGCGCAGAACTGGGTCAAGTTTTTCCTGACTGGCTACAGCAGGACTTGGGTATCGAGGCCCCTTGAGGGACTCAGGGAGGTCACAAGGAAGGGATAGAATAATACTGGACGGGGAGTCCCCCCGGGGGGGGGCGGGGGGGGGGACGGGTTGTTCTTCGTTGCACGGCCGATTCGTAACTTTTTTGGGCGACAGATGTACCATGATTTGAAGCCCCGAGAACATGGCTTTGGAAGAGGAGGTTCCCGTCATCTAAACTGGGCCGTGGATAGTAGGTGCATCTATTTACCTTACAGTGTATCTATCCGCTGCCGGGACTTCGGGACGGGAATCAAAAGGCACCAAGATCCTGATCCATAGAGATCAGGGTCGCATGGGACCCAGGTCCAGGGCCGTGAGGGAGCAAAGAGGAGCGGTTGCGGTGCGGGTAACCCGACGATCAACCTCGGCGATCGCATCGCATCACATTGCATCACATCCAGAGTTGGCGCTACATGACCGTCTTCTTCCCTCCCCCGCGCCCCCATTGCGTCCCCCTGTCCTGGAGGGGGTCGGGTAGTTCTTGTTTATTCTCTTGAGGAGACGGTGAGGGGACCAAAAGTGAGGAACATTTGCACGCATGAGCTGTATGGCGGTGGGGTTCGTCGAATCGTCGGTATTATTCCAGGAACCACACATTGTCGTCAATAAGAAACGGCTGGCGGGAAGATCAAGTTTTCTTGTTTTTGAAGGGATTTGCGCCCCCCGCTCTCCCTCTCTCTCTGCGTGGGATGGTTCCCTGACCTTGAAAAAAAATCCTTAGGTGGAAGAAGCCGAGGCGGACAACCAGTTCATCGTCATCTTCCGCCCTATGGACATTGAATTAATTCCCAACCCATCCACCCACGTACAATGTTAATTAATTTCCAGACACGTCCAGGTCACCACGTGTTCATCAGGAGAGGGGGCAAAGGGTAATTGTCTCGGGTTTTCCCTGATTCTCTCCTCTGCTTTTGTCTTTGGCCGAGGCATTGAAGAGATGAAGTTGTGAGACGAGGGGTGGCGCTTGCCACACTCACTTTCCCTCTGTCCCACCTCCAGCGCAGGCGGCCTTAGATCTGTCAATTTGTTTGGAACCCTACTTCAATTTGCCATCGTTAAGCTGAACCGGCATTTCGTTGTTTGGTTTTTGTATAAGCCTCGGTACCTCGAGAGAGGGAGAGAGAGGGAGGGTCATCGCGGAGCTCCGGGGAGGATATGAGTGGTTCATGTTGTTCTCTGTCCCATCGATTTGGGTCCAAACCTTGAAGTTTGGGGGAGGGGTTAGGGAAGGGATCTACCCCGTAGCTCAACCCACACAAGGTAGTGTATATGGTTGATCGGCGGCGGCATACGGCATACGGCATACACGGATACAGGCATTGAGGATTGGGGGGGGGGGGGCGATGATGTTTTACAAACCGAGAAACGTAGCCTTGTCTTGTCATACGTTGTGTACCATATCGTCGGCTTTCCGTTGCTGTATGGAGTAACGCATGCCCGATGCCCGGAGCCGTATTGGCGGGTCTGATTCTGAGGGGCGGGCCACCGATGTGTTTCGGGTCGCCATCTCCATATTGAGAGAGGTGACAAATAACCTCATTGCGAAGACATCCCTTGTTGTTTCTTTGCGGATTTAAATACACAAGCCGTATATGAAGAGGTAGTGAGTTGGATGGAGATATGCCTAAAACCCTGCGCCGCGGCACTTGCAAGGAAGAAACCACGGCAAAGAAAGATAAAACGGTTAAAAGTCCGAAGAAGTGTGCGAGAATGCGAGGAACTCTGCAAAAGTCCAACGGCGCGTTCTAGAACTCCCGTCTCCTGGTAAAGGGATTTGAAAGAGTCACATACGGCATGATGGATTATGGGACGATTGTAACGCCCCTAGGGCTGTACTGAGTAGCAAAACATGGAGGAAGCACCAAATTATTCGGCCGACGGAGCTGTTTACTCAATCAGACTGGGATATGTTGAAATCGCATCCAACCGTTCAACCCTCGTTGCGTTTTGACTTTGCAGATTACCTCACCCCTCATTGTCGTTAATGACGGTAGAGTTTATTTACCTTGGCCGAGCGAGGTTCCCGTGATTTCCGGCTAGGCAGCCTGACCGTAAACTCAACCGACGACGAGTGTACACAGTAGTCTTGATCAGCGGCTTTCAAGAAGCAAGCAAAGTCGAGGCAAAATGGAAGAGTTTGTTGCACACGCCGGCAAGGAGTACAACCTGCCACCTCATCGGCTGTCTATGCGTGGATGACGAAGGGACGCCTGAGAGACAACAGCAGTCGGCCGGCTTGGAAAGATAGACGCGGCCCGTGCAGAGCGAAAGCCCGGAGCCGCGAGTAAGGTGAGTTGGATGACCTGCTTGAATTCAAGATTCACTAGTCGGTTGAGTTCTTGGATAAGCCAGCTTACATCCGCAACGGATAGACTTTCCTGTGGTTGGGGGTTGTCTTGTGCTACTGCTATGAAGCCCCTCTCGACGGTTCGCAAGATGTAGACAACATGTATCTCTGGCACGGATACACACACTGTACAAGATGTGATATGCGTGGTATCCGTCGAGCTTGATCCGCTGCAGCTGTCGGTTCTCGTTTGGTGTATCCATTCATATGGATACTCAAGTCGCACCACGCACGAAGATTTGGTGACTCCACAATCGGAGAGGAGGTTGGGACGTTGTCATAAATGACTGGTAACATGCAGCCCACCTTTGCCATCTCCTAATGCGTGAGCCCAGGCCAGGGTTCTAGAGCCGAATCGAGGATTTATCCTCTGTGCCTCTCCAGTGTGGACTTGGGGTCATTGGATGCATCGGGTGGTGGTGTGGGTGTGTGCCAGGTATGAGTGGCAGGCCCCGTGGTCTCGTCAGAACGATATCTGGAGATCTGAGAGAAGCAGCACGGTATGCTGTGATCGACCGACCATGCTTGGCTATTTCCGGAGACTGCGAAGATAGTCAAGGGGCCTTGGGGGCCCCAGGCTAGGTAGCTGCGGAAGCTTGCGATCCTGGACTCCTGGTTGAGTTTTTCCTGGCCTGGCCCGGCGAGAGTGTTTATGTGCTAGTGTTGGCCTGATTAAGGCCCAGTGATGAGTGGAAACGACACCTCTAGCTTGAGATAGGATGATTTGCGGAGAGGGGCTTCCATGTAGGTTTGGCTGTTGGCTTCATCGCCTCTGATAGATTTTGCGGTTCGGCGGCGCGGCGAGCAAAGTATCGGAGCAGTCGGCGTACTTCCGCTATATTGAGGGCAGTTGAACGACTGGAAGCCGTACTCGTCTTGATCTGGTTCGACTGTGCGTCTGAACTGATTAGGCTCTGACGATTGTGCCTGGCCATACGATAGATGTCAGAAGGGGTTGATGGGCAAGTGACAGGCAACGTTATTGGGTCATTGGATCAATGATGATTGGAAAACAATTGGATGGCCAAGGAAGGTTGCCGTAATCCATCGCCGCCATCGTCGCACCAAGAGGGGACGAGGAACCCAAGAAGTGGTCGACTGTGAGTCTGTGAATGAGACAATGAGGCTGCGCAAAGCATCGGACGCACTGGCTGGCGTGATGGTCTTGTCAACCCAGCCAGTTGACAGGGAAGGGTTCAGTGCAGGATTCCTTCCATGCCACTTTATCTGCAGCTGATGGGGGCTTCTAGCGTAAAGGTAGCTTAGCTTCCATTGGAAATCGTAGCATGTTGTCTCCAGTCGGAACTCTTGTCTTGTCTTGTCATACAGTAGCATGCCTTGGGGGTACCTCAGCGTGCTCAGGTCGCAGGCGGTGGATGGGAGCGGAGAGTGGAAGCAAAAGAAACAAGACTTTGACTGTGCTTCACAGCGACCGCCACGCGAGGTCCGTGAGCCGGAGACAGTGCAGTGACACCTTCCTCTGTTTGTCCGAGTCGAGTCAACTAGGTCGGGTAAGTTGTAACTGTGCGTTGGTACGTTGGATTGGGTTGTGGGTTCAAGGTTGAGCTTGTCGGTTGTTGTTGGTTGTCTGGACTCTGAGATGACGGGATTTCTGTCAATGGCTTGGCGTGACGCGACTTTCACTTTCTGCTAACGAGCGGATGCAGTATTTCTGCACCGGCAAGACGATAGTTGCAACTTGCGTTGAGGCAGAGGGTTTACCAACGGTCCGAACCGGAATGTTAGTCTGGCAGATTGGCAGACAAAATCTCCGTCACAGTCGAGCCCATCAATGCCGCCCAAGCACAGGTATTAGACTAGAGAGTCAGAATCAGAGTAAGACAGGACAGACCAGAAGGTGATGTGCATTCCGGGGATCCATCCAGCCATGTTTGCTTTTCCCGCCAGCCATGCGCTCGAAACAGACACTCGTGGGCCCAGCTTTGTCTTGTTTTATCTTGTCTTGGATGTCGCTCTTCGTTGGGGGCCGCGCCGCTCACCTGTTTCCTGCATATTAGTCACCAACTGGCAGTAAGCAGACAAACCCACCACGCTGTTTGGATGTCTTGCTGGCACATGTCTCCTCAGGCAGTGCAGATACGGGACACTATGCCAATGTCTCAGCATGTTGTCTCGGCTTCACGCCGCCGTCTCGTGGGAAGTCCATAGAAGAGGCAAGGAGATATCGAGATGTCATTATTCAGTGGATCTTTTATAAAATAACGTACGGATGTTCTGTGCTGTGTCTTTCCAGCTGCCTCATTTTGATGGAAGGTAAACTTGTAGCTTCAAGTATAACATATCTTAGTAGGCTACTCAATACACTACGAGGAAGAGGCTGAGCTCGGAGAAAGAGCAGTGATAAGTTCCTTCCTCTATAGAGAGGCACTTGCCTTGATACTTGGAGCGTACGTGCGGTACCTAAGTATAGGTACCTATGTAGGTAGGCGACGAGAGAGAACTTGGGGTGCCTCAGGAAAGAGTACCTGCAGTACGTAGATGCCAAGACAGGCCCGGCGTCCGTTCCGGAAGTAGCCGTCCAGACCTCAATGGCTGTCAATTTTGAGTGTGCAGTGAAACCGTCCAAAGACGGCAGCGCTAGTAGGTAAATATTGCACTTTGTACTCCGTACCTTGTACGTACCCTGCTCCACTGTGTTGTGTGGGCATTCGTAGACTCGTAGTTACTGCCGTCGAAACTCAACACTGCCGACTCCTCCGCGCCATCAATCAGACTCCATAGTGGCAGATTCCGACATGATGAATGCGGCCAGAGAGAACGGTACCCCACCGCCATTGTGTTCTTCTTTCCGCTCGATGTCGTCTTCCAGAGTCGATCCCGTTACCATCCCGTAGTATAAGCGTCCGCCCGTCAGCAGCCCTCGTCCCTAGACTCGGGTCCAGCTGAAGGAAACACAATGAACCAAACCATGGGGCCAGATGCAAAAGGCAAACCAGCAGCGTGGCAGAAAGCCAGTCAGTGAAAGCCAGTTACTAGGTACACTACGTACTAGTGGCAGGTCACCGATCCAGCTGGCCCGACTCCCCGATACTCGATGCTGTATCACCAAGATCCCGGACGTATCCTATACGGCAGACAAGCCAAGCCAAGCCAGCTTCACATCCTCTCACTGTCACGCTTTCTGCGACAGCTACCGTTGGCGGGGGTCCTCCGAGTCCCGAGGCTTCTCCCTACCACTACTAACGGGAACCTTGCTACGCATACAGCACGCCATGGAAAGGTACTTGAAAGTCGTGTGGACAGTGGCATGGTACGGTGGTACCCAGGTGGACAAATTATTACCCAGGGGGAAAAACAGGGCCCCAATAACAGCTTGACTTTGCCATGGTGTGCAACCAAAAGCCCCTCTCCTGGTTTGGGTTCTCAGGAGAGTTACATTTCCCCTCGGTCACTGACCTCTGCCATAGAGACTGAGTGTGCCGCCAACTCAGATCAGCAACGTCTGCAGCTACAGCTTGTTGTCAAAGCGGGCTCCCCTGTTTCCTTTCTTTGACGGACGCAATTCTGCTTTCCGACCGAGTTCTGCCCTCTCTGACTCTCTGGCTTCTGCCCTGCCAGCCCGTTAGTTTAGAGCTAACCTCTCCGTACAAAGCAAGGTATCCATACTTGGTTACCGTATAACACAGTAGCCCGTTTGTATCCCCTGCTTGCTCGTCCTTTGCCCCCACCCACAATGACAAACCCCATCGCCATCATGTTCCCCCCTACCCCTCCCCATGCAACGCATCGCCTGCTACAGGCTAGCTACATGCGCCATAACGAGAAGCAAGGTACCTCTAATCCAATGCCCGGGGGAAGAGAAGATGGAGAGAATGGGAGCCATGTCTTATGTTCTTCTCTGCGGACTCTCTGCTTGACCAAGCCAGCCAGCGCTTGTGAGGAAAAGGGTACTTCTGCGATACCTATAACATGGAAGTTCTCTGTGGGGCCTGCAGTACACAGGATGTATCTGGTGTTTCCTTGGCCTAGCTACTCCGTTCGGAGTACTTCGTGTATCTGCACCGAAGAGGAGAACTTTCTTGACAAGGGACTGCTATTTGCCTGACACGACTTCATAGAGGACTGAGAGACTACTAAATTGATAGAGACCGGCAGAGCGCCCCCCTTTTGAACGGCATTTCCCGTCGAGTCCTCGTGTCTTAATCTCTCTGCCGATGCGAATCTCTGGCCACATGTGCATGCCCTCCGCTATCATCTTAGTAACGCGGAACACTCAACAATAGACCCGACTTATTATAATTGCATCTCCTACCCGCCCTACCTTACCTCTCCGAACCTTAGCTTGTCCGTTGTTACCTTGTCCCAGAGCCAGGAGGTATCCGTACTCAAAAGTCTCAACCCGACATATTCGCATCCAAGTTTCCAAGAGTCAAGAAGTCAACTCTGGCCCCTAACACACGACACTCCCGTACTCCCTATTCCCTAGCCGAACCCTACGCACACGGCCTCATCGGCGCATCCTGCAACATCAATCCCATCTTGACACTCATCACTTGCCGTCGCCGGACCAGGCACACCCCAGATCGTCCTAACCACGGCCACCCCCGGACGTAGCAGGGAAACAGGCCCTGTGAGACTCGCAACTGCGCCGGTTCTCAAACACCACCCGCGTGGCTTGGAAGCCTTTCATCCATGCACTCGCCTGCCATTCTTCTACCACGTCGTCTACCGCTCTCACTCCCCTCACAACCTGCTTCCACTCACGCCTCGAGCCACGCATAGAACCGTCTTGCTTGCTCAGCTGCCTTGCTCCGTATTCCTCCTGCTCAACACGAATACTCTACAACCCAATTGGCATACCCAGAAACGCGAGACCGACTTGACATATTCAACTGTCCGTCTCCCATCCGTACCTTCGGTTCTCATTTAGTCTCGCCATTGGCCTCTCGCCGTCTCTTGCCACATACTACGCCCTTCTATCATCTCAACACGAACACGCGCTCCCGGACCCGGCTTGTCCCCGGCACTTGGTTCCAAACACCCACATCAAGTCGCCCAGCGGCTGATTATCCCCTTCAGCTTTAGATAGTCATCACCCTACGCACACCAAACAACACTGCCTCGCCTGTCTGCGAGTTTCATGTCGCTGCAATCTTTGGTCCAGGCATCAACAGTCGATCTTTCACGCTCACCCTGATCGGCCGTCAGCGTGATCATCATACGCTGAATCACCCTTGAATAATCCTACGATTGAAGTAACGGGACGAACGTTGCGGTTCTTGTAAAACCGGTCACCTCCGAAGCAGTGTCTTATAGTCACTGGCTAGCCTCCCTGCCTATCTCAACGCTGCCACAAAGCTACGATCACCAGAATCACAACCTCAACCACAGTATCTCAGAATAAACCTTCATCATGGTCTACTGCGGGAAGCCCTCCAGGGGCTGTCAGATGTGTCGTACTCGAAGGATAAAGGTGAGATCTGAGATGAAGGCATCCGGGAGGTAGTGTTGGCAAATAAGTGGAAGTGTGTACTGACGGTGCCTTTTCCTGCTATAGTGTGACGAGACGAAGCCAACATGTAACCAATGCGCCAAGTCACGCCGGCAATGTCCCGGCTACAAGGACGAATTCGACCTCGTCTTCCGGAATGAGACCAAAGCAACAGAGAGAAGAGCGCAGAAGGCGAACCGAAAGGCTCTTGCCCAGAAAGAAAAGGACCTCGACTCGCCGACATCAGGCTCAGATAAGAGCATTTCACCGACTTTCAAGAAGGAGATCGATTCGCCCACAGCCGTCAGCCCTGGCCTGAACGTCCCAGTGGAACAAATGGCCAGCTGCCACTTCGTCGCCAATTATGTCTTGCTACCGAGGCAGGGAAGCACGCGTGGGTTCATGGAGTACCTTTTGCCGCTGTTGAAGGTCGACCAGGGGAACCACCACTTGCAGCATGCGTTCAACGCGTGCGCGCTGGCATCACTAGGAAACCGACCAAACGCAGCAGCGACACAACTGAGCGAGAAAGCACTCGGTCACTACACCAAAGCGCTGGCGGAGACACACATCGCGCTCAAAGACCCCGACCAGTCGAAATCCGACGCCACACTCGCTTCCGTTCTCATGCTGGGTCTTTTCGAAAACATGACTGCTCGACAGATGGGCATGTTTGCCTGGGGCTCGCACATTGAAGGCGCCATTCAATTAGTAAAGGCTCGCGGTCGCAAGCAACTCAGAACAAAGACGGGCCTGCTTCTCTTCATTGCCGTCCGGACACAGATGATCATCCACACGCTTAGCACGGGTACGGCACCAATCATGGGCGTGGAATGGTGGCTCAGCGATGCCGTCAAAGACGAGTCTGCCGCCCAGTGCCAGAGACTCAACATCAAGACGGCTGAGCTGCGTGCCGAGGTTACGAGGTTGATGTCAACGGTGGCCCGAAGCCCAGAGAACATTGACATCATGCTCGACATGATTCGCCGGGCTCAAACGGTCGATCAAGAACTAATGAGCTGGATGAGGAACACGCCAGACTACTTCCAGTACACGACGGTAGCGTGGGAGGATAACGTACCCAACGGAGATTACGCAAAGGCAGAAGTGTTCCCTGGTCGTGTGGACGTCTATCAAGACTTCTGGATCGCGAGTGTATGGAACATGGCAAGAGTATCTCGTCTCATCCTCGCATCCGTCATCGTACGCTGTGCTGCTTGGGTCTGCTCGCCGGTGGACTACCGGACAACACCCGAGTACGCCACAGCGGCGCGCACATGCGTTGACACCATCAGCGATATCATCGCCTCAGTACCGTACCACCTCGGATGGCATCTCAAGAGGCCCGAACTGCTCGAACGGGCCAACATCTCAGGCTTCGCCTGCGGTCTGGAGGAATCGCAAAAGGGTCTTCCCGGCTACTTCCTCACCTGGCCTCTGGCATGCTTGCACGGGCAAGACTACACGACAGACGCCCAAAGAGCCTGGGTTGTAGGACGATTGAAGTTCATCGGCGATGAACTCGGTGTCAAGTACGCCCACATTCTGTCACAGGTAAGCAAAGCCTCTTCTTCACATCGCCTCCCCTTGCTATTCTGCATCGATTAACTAACGTACTCCACAGATGCAAGTTCGTATCCCATCAATGCTCATCAGGAGAGACGGCCTCATGGCCCAGCCGTACCCGCAAGCCCACAACTTTGAAAAGCTGCTCTCGGCGCGCTTCGCCCCGCCGTCCGCGGGCTACTCCATGAACCCTCTGCAGCAACGCGAGGCCATGCAAAAGGAGTTTGTCGAAAAGAACAAGGCCGAGCTGCTAGCCAAGGCCACCGGCACCGCTGGCCAGGCCGGCCAGTGGGTGGCGCAAAATTGGTTGACGGTTCGCCCGGGCGCTCAGTGAGTTTTTCCTTTTGAGGAAATCATGCAAGCGCAAAACGAACATTACCACGAGTTTACGTCTTATCTATGACCATCCCCTGGCATTTCCTACTTGTGGATATTATCTATATACACACATGTGCTCTTTCTCTCCTTACTGAGAGATATCTGGCGGGATATGCGGAAAGGGGGGGAAATGTGGGATTCAATGTCTCGCATCACTAGTGACAAGGGAGAAGCACAAAATTGGGGTCGCAGGTCGCAGGTCGCAGGTCGCAGGTCGCTCAGCTTCGTAACCATGTAAAAGGCAGCAGAGCCTGGGTTGGCCTTGGCCTGGAGAAAGGGATTTTGATATCACGGCGTTTTCCCAGGAGGAGGACATTTGTTGTTTCCGTTGGCTTTGGCTTCAAAGTTGATATCTCATGCATCATGCAGTATTACGTATACACATTCCTTATCAAAAATTGCATTCAATCGATCTGTCCATCGCGTTGTCTTGTAATGTATCTCACGCTTAGAACGAAAGGTAGCCCACGTCTGTTCCTCATCTTACGCATTTAAACCAGAACGTAGACCATGGAAATCTCGTCGATTCCGTCCAAATATCCTGACAAACTCAGAAAGTGAAAAAGTGCTCTCTGGCCGTGACTAGCTGCAGGGTGCATGTACTCCAGCTGCGCCGAGCCAGACACTACTGCATCGAACAAGTCCCGTTGAGATGTCATCCCAACCTTTGTCCGTTCGGCGCTCAGGCGGCGCCCGCTGCCCATTTCCCCTCTTAGCCATGACTTTTACTGACCATCCCAGGCCCTGTTTTTGGGTATCTCAACAATCGCTGGCCCGACTGCCCACTCCAAGTGTACCGATTTGCCTGTTTTTCGCATCGGTTTCCTGCGCTCTGCCGTCCCATCCCGCTTAGACATTCCTGACAGCATGGCTGGTAATGCGCGCCCATCATTTGGTCTTCTTGATCTGACCGACAGTATTCCCGCTCAAATTCCAAGCCTTGACGACCCAGCTCTGGGTTTTGTCGACGTAGTTCTCGTTCGAGGTGTGCTTCACGCCGACGCGGACGCCATCCTTTGTGAAGACGACGTTCTTCTTGCCCATGCGCTCCGAGGCAGACTCTTGGATCTTGTTGACGGAGATGTACACCTGCCAAAGCACCCAGGCCAGGCCGCCGAGGAAGAGGAGGGTGATTACAAGGGGAATGATTTGCCTGTGGGTTTGCGCGGAATGTGTCAGCAGTTTTCTGTATTCCCAAGAGTCCAAAGACTGGGACTCTCGTTCTTGTAACAGTCGCGTGAGGTACAACATAAGGTTGAGGCGCAAAAGCGACAAGCCTCGAAATGCCAAGAGGTGCACCCTGGTGTTGTCCGGGGAAGGAATCTTACTGACCTCACGGCCGAAGGGGGGGCGGCGGTTGCGCTTTCTTGCCCCACGCCATTATTGCGATTGTGCTCAGAATTTGTGGTTGAGAGATCCGTGGAGAGATTTTGGTCCTTTCCTGTTCACTTTTTGAAAGGAAGAAAACAGTATGGAACGACAGCAAGAAAAATGATGTTGCCAGAAGGAAAAAAAAAAAAGGTGCAGAAAATGCGCAATACCGAGCGAGTCGCCGTCCGACTAAGGGCTTCTTAAACAGGTAGGGCGATGTCGATCTCAAAGGGTAGGTTGTGGATTTGCGTGAGGTTGACTAGATGGCGGTATTGGTAGAATGGTGAAGGGGTCGAAGTGAATAAGAGGCGACAGACTACACACATGCAGACTAGGTAGAAGGAAAGGGGAGAAAAGGAAGAACAGGTGCCGGACGTTGGACGAAGAGGGAGCCGGGCTGCAGATCGAGGAGGGAGGAAGAGGGAGGGGTGGGAGCTAAAGCAAGGCAAGGTAAGGAAGGTAGCTGCTCAGTCAGAGCTGGAAGGAAAACGGGCAAGCACGAGCGACAGGAAAGGAACAATGAGGAAAAGTCCAGATGAAATCAGTCAGTCGTACAACCCAGTCTACCTTACCTCTCTGCGTAGCTACCTCTCTACCTTATACCAATACCTGCCCGTTGAAGTAGGCAAAGACATGGACATGACCGTGGCACGTCGCAAGCCGCAGGCCGTACGCCTCACGAAGCAGCACATTTTGTATTACAGTACCACCCTCTCCCCTCCCCACCACCCACCTTCCCGTCCCGCTATCCGCGTCTACCTTGGCTGTGTACTCTATACGGAGTAGTGAGCTATTCCAAGGTACGCAGTGTAGGAGTCTACGGATACAGACGGGCAGTCCGATCTAGGCGCAGATTACACGCGGGCAGCGGACGGCGCATCCCAGCGCGAGAAAGTTGAATCGCGTCGTTCCGACACGCAATCGAGCGACGGCCCAGTCCTCGGCGCAGGGGACTTGGATCTTGGAGGGGAGGGTCCAGGGGCTACCGAGTGGAGATTCGGGGCCTTGAGAGGCTGAGAAGAAGAATCCAATGGGCGACCATGAGCGGGAGGCATCAACCGTCTTACCCAGGTAGGCAAGATACCCACTAAAGGTACGTAGGTGAGTGGAGGTATTCGATCTTGCGGTGGTAGTACTTACTTCACCAGGTAGTCTCGTAGTCTCGCGCCCGCGGCCTCCCCCCTTTTAATGTTTCCCTCCTCTTTCTTAGTGGTGCTGGTGGGAAGACATCATGTGCGCTTCCAAACTCTGATCAGGGTCACTTAATTATACCCTCGGGCAGTGCCTTCAATGGGTCACGAATTTGCAGTAAGTCGAATGCGAGCAATGGCTCCTCAAATGCTAGATGTCTAGTTCGAGAGCCAGCTGGGATAATGTCAACTCTGAGATGTTGTCAAGCTCATGCTGTTGGGTATTTTCATGCGAGAGCTCGTCTTTGGATAACATGACAAAACATGGTTCAGTCAAAGTCTTCCTATCCCCATGCTAAAGTACTTGCTCTACCTATTATAGGGAGGTCCCCAGTCACTTGCACGGAACTGAGACGCTGCTGAGGGGAGCATTGCACCTTGCTGGATGCATGTCTGCCCCACGACGTTTGATATCATATATGAGAAGACGAAAAACGACAATTAAGAATAAGAAAGGGTTCGCATCACGCATGCCTGGGAGTTTTGCTCTTTGGTGGGATGTTTTTCAGGACCTGTGCACACTACATAGCAGCCCAGGTCCTTGTTGTAGTGTAAGGTATCTGACAGGCTGACTTGTCTAAGTGTGGCCCTCGCCGGAAATCTGCCGAATGGGGTCCGGCGTGGGGCTCTTTCCGGACTGACCGTTATTCCGCTCTCCGTCTGCCTCAGCCTCACCTGGCCTGTGCACCGAAGCTCCCCGCCACATGTCCTGACCGCCGCCATGATGGGACACACTTCAGTCTCCAGCTAAGCCCGCCAGTTAAGCCCTTGCTTGCGATAGAGGTGCATACCTAGTCGACTTGGAGCTGGATCCAGTGGGTTGAACCACCTGTCCATTCGACTCTGCCCAAGGCTGCCTGTCTACTGCAACTTCGCCCTCCCTTTCTCAATCGCAGCCTGGCTCGGGTATCTAGGTTAGCCTCGCCTTGACGTATCTCCAGCACCCTTCGTCATCTGGTTCATGTGGACACATCTCCATTGACCAACGTTTGCTGTCCTTGAACCCCTCGCTACCTAACGCCACGCCATCTATTGCGTACGTCCAAAAAGCCGGCATTGGCCACGCTCGACCAAATCGCATCCCCAACATCAACCTTTCCATCCATCGCAAAGCCACAGCTTGGATCCTAGCCCACCTAAATACTATCGAGCGCAACCTCGTCCTTGCCCCGACCGCCCACCATGTCGGCGCCGAACGACGGCTACGGCCAATATCCCCCGCAGCAACAACCCTACTCCGACCAGCCTCAGGATGGCTACGATGCACAGGGAGCTCAAGCTACCCAGCCAGCTGCAGCCGACCAAGGCAAGAAGAAGAAGAGAGGTTATGCCACCCAAGCTTATGAGTTTGGAGCTGGCGCCAACTCCAACACGGCCGGCGCACCTCCTCAAGGACAACAATATGGCATGCCCCAGCCCCAGGCCGCGGCTTATGGTGGATATCCCGCGCAGGATGCTCAACCTGCTGCCGCCGCCTATGGCTCTCCTCAACCTCAGCAGTACGGCATGCCCCAGCCCCCTGCCGCTCAACCTGGAGGATACGGCGCGTATCAATCCCCTGATGCCGGATATCCTGCGTCCGGTCTTGCCCCTGCCGCCCCCAGCGTCGGCGGCCTCAACCAGCAGATGGCCGGAATGAACCTCGGCGGCCAACAGAACCAGCAGCAGCCTCCTCCTGGCCAAGCCGCTCGTCCTGTGGCCCTTAACCAGCTCTACCCTACCGACTTGATGAACCAGCCGTTCAACGTCTCCGAGCTAGACTTGCCCCCTCCTCCCATTATCCTTCCTCCCAACGTACGTCACCACCCATGCCCACAACCCTGAAGCTCAATTCTGACAACGAGACCTCTAGACTAGCGTGACCCCCTCACCAGATGCGAACTGCGGTCCCAAATATGTACGCTCTACTCTCAACGCCGTCCCGACAACACACTCTCTTCTGAAGAAATCGAGGTTACCCTTTGCGCTCGTTATCCAGCCTTATGGAGCTCTCCACGATAGCGAGGATCCGATTCCGGTGGTGCAGGACCAGGTCATCGCGCGTTGCCGACGCTGCAGAACATACATCAACCCATTCGTTACCTTCCTGGACCATGGACACCGATGGCGTTGCAACATGTGTAACCTGACGAATGATGTTCCTCAAGCCTTCGACTGGGACGCTGCTTCGCAAAGGAGCACTGACCGTTGGGGACGTTACGAGCTCAACTATTCTGTTGTCGAGTTTGTTGCGCCTCAGGAGTACATGGTGCGCCCGCCTCAACCGCTGGTTTACCTGTTCCTCTTCGACGTGAGCTACGCTGCAGTCTCGACCGGCCTTCTCGCGACCAGTGCCCGAACCATCCTCGATAGTCTCGACAGAATACCTAACGCCGATCGCCGAACTCGCCTGGGTTTCATCGCCGTGGACTCCAGCCTGCACTACTTCTCGGTTCCCAAGGATGGTGAGGAGAACACTGAGACCAGCATGTTGGTTGTCAGCGATTTGGACGAGCCATTCCTGCCTGTGCCTCAAGACCTGCTGGTACCCCTGACGGAGAGCCGCCAGAGCATTGAGAGCTTTCTGACCAAGCTGCCCGAAATGTACCAGAGCAACCAGAACAATGGATCTGCCATGGGCTCGGCCCTTCGAGCTGGTCACAAGCTGATTTCGGCTCTCGGCGGAAAGATCGTGGTGCTCAGCGCTTCGCTGCCCAATGTTGGCGTCGGCAAGCTGGACATGCGCGAAGACAAGAAGCTGCTGGGTACAAGCAAGGAAAGCAGTCTGCTTCAAACTGCCAACAGTTTCTACAAGAGCTTTGCTGTAGAATGCTCAAAGAACCAGGTCTCCATCGACATGTTCCTGTTCTCCTCGCAATACCAGGATGTTGCCTCTTTGAGCAACTTACCCAGGTACACTGGTGGACAGACTTGGTTTTACCCGGGCTGGAACGCCGGCCGTCCGGAAGACGCCATCAAGTTCGCCTCCGAGTTCAGTGACTACTTGTCATCAGAGATTGGACTGGAAGCAGTACTCCGTGTTCGTGCCACCACTGGTCTGCGCATGAACGCCTTCTATGGTAACTTCTTCAACAGAAGCTCCGATCTTTGCGCCTTCCCCGCCTTCCCTCGCGATCAGTGCTATGTCGTTGAGGTTGCCATTGACGAAAACCTCACGAAGAACGTGGTGTGCTTGCAGACTGCCGTTCTTCACACAACCTGCAATGGAGAGCGTCGCATCCGCGTCATGACGCTGGCTCTTCCGACAACTACAAATCTCGCTGATATCTATGCCTCGGCGGATCAGCAGGCGATCACCACCTACTTCAGTCACAAGGCCGTCGAGCGCGCCTTGAGTGGAGGTCTGGAGGCTGCTCGCGACTCTCTCCAGAACAAGTTGATCGAGCTCTTGCAAACTTTCAGAAAGGAGCTCGCCGGCGGCAGCATGGGCGGCGGCCTGCAGTTCCCCTCTAACCTACGCGGCCTCCCCATCCTCTTCTTGGGTCTCATGAAAAATGTCGGCCTCCGCAAGTCGGCTCAAATCCCGTCAGACCTGCGGTCGGCGGCCCTCTGTCTGCTTTCGACGCTTCCCGTCCCTCTCCTCATGCAATACATCTACCCCCGTCTCTACTCGTTGCACGACATGCCCGACAACGCAGGTGTGCCTGACTCGGAGACGAGCCAGATTGTGCTCCCGCCGCCGGCGAATCTCTCGTCAGAAAGGTTTGCTCCGTACGGTCTGTACCTCATCGACGACGGCCAGACGCAGTTCCTCTGGGCCGGCCGGGATGCCGTGCCGCAGCTGCTGGCCGACGTGTTTGGAGTTGAGGACAGGACCCAGTTGCGGGTGGGCAAGGGTGCTCTACCGGAGCTGGACAACGATTTCAACGAGCGCGTACGGGCAGTCGTTCACAAGAGCCGGGACCACAAGTCCAAGGGAGTCGGCAGCATCATCCTGCCCCATCTCTACATTGTCCGCGAAGACGGAGAACCGAGCCTTAAGCTGTGGGCGCAGACACTACTGGTGGAGGACAGAGCGGACCAGGGCATGAGCGCAGCACAGTGGCTTGGTATTCTTAGAGAAAAGGTAAGTCCCCCCAACCCAGCCCAACACAGTAAAGTGGCATTTCGTTATCAAGACAGTATTGCTAACAAGACGATGCAGGTTGTTACTTGATTGGAGAAGCGGTACTAAAGGGCAATTGCAATGCAAAGTGAAAGGTGGTAGCATGTGGTACTAGGTTTATTTAGACCAATGTCTCTATCAAATTAGAGATCAATACGCAAAAAATATTGGCCGAATACATTTGTCCATCGTCCTCCCATTACATGCGCCAATATGAACCTACAAAAGTGGACAGCTCTTGTGCGTGGGTCCGGTAAGCGGCACCAGTGACTCGCGAGAGAGACGGTGATGGCCTGATAGGGGACATTGCGTGGTAGTCTGTAGGAGAGTTGACTAGTCTTTCGGAACCTTTGGCTTCAGAAGAGGTCCTGAGGAAATGAGCTTGTCTCGGGAGGTTGAGAAGCCTGTGGGGCTCACGTTCATGTCGCACTTGACTGTTGGTGCCTGTGTTGGCGTAAGTTCTCCTGCCACACATTAAGGTGGTAGCAGCCGCCGTAAGTCTAGCATTCGGAATCCAGAATCTAGGATCCAGATACGACTGACTACCTTGTGCTGCTCTTGCAAAGAGGCTGAGTAATACTAAGAGATACGAGAATACCCATGTATCGTCCGTCTGGGCCAGGCCGCTTGAATCACCACAGCCCAAACCGTCCATCCCGCACTCTACTTCGATGGTGAAGGGGAAATAAACAAGGTGAAATCTGGCACCTCCTCAGCTTCCGGGTCGGTTGGTTAGGTGGGCTTGTGTGAAACTGGCACCAGTGAGAGGTGAAACACACGCGCCGAGGGTACAGACGGGGACCGGCTCGGGGGCCAATGGTGGGCGGTGCTAGGCGCCGGCTGTACGTGTGCCGTGGCTTGCAGGCGTGCTGGCCAATGAACGGTCCAGAAGTCGGGTTTTTGGCATTTTCCCATCACAATGGCTACCGGTATAATTAGCACGTTTGTCACTTGGAACATCTGGGAGTTGGGTCAGCTGGCATTTTTTGAATGCTGGACTTCGAAGAGCGAGGTAAGGTAAGGTATGCGGGAGACCTTTTGTTTGACGCTTCGGCAGCTCGGCGAGAAAGTACCTCATTAGCTGTACGGAGTACGGGGTACCATCGTGCCTTACGGAGAGAGACCCTCAATGGTGTGAGTAAGACTAAGAGTTCCGCTTGCCCCGTCAATAAGGAGCCTGAGCCCCTGGCAATAAGGGTGGAATACCGGGGATATGCATGTATCAAGCTCGTTCCGCTAGCGCTGTCAGAGGTCCCCTTTCCCCGTACGTTGCTTAGTTGGTGCCGCCACGAGCAGAAGATACCTTAGCTTTCCAGAACTTGGAAGACCTCATCATTAGCTAGGAGAAAAACCTCAAACAGCATGGTTCAATCATCCCGAAGTTGAGCTGATCAACCGGGTTGTGGATCGTCTGTTCCCACCTAGGGAGGCAGGGGAGAATAAGAGACTGGAGGGGATCCAGAGTCTAGACCAAAGAACAGTGTGACCGTTCTAGACCGCGGCAACGTGGACTGAAATGTAGCAGGGAAGAAGCATTGATGCGTAGCCGCCGTCGAAGCTTTCCAAGGGCGAGTCGGTTTGGTTCCATTGAGAGAGACTGGGAGACGGCATCGTCTATCTGAGGCTTTGTTTTGTTCTAGACTTTGACTGTTTCCAGTTCCTAGAGACTAGGAGGGATCCACACGGGGGCATTTCTGTTGTCATCGTGAGACCTTTGGTTCGATGCTACGGTGATTCAAGGTTCAAGTTCGGATTGTTTTTGACTGCTCTCGGGCTGACGGGTCGGCGGGAGGGGCGGAGCTTGCCTAGACTTTATCTGAATCAGAGATTAATTAGTCCTTGAACGGACGCGGCCTAGTAGTTGATCGGAAAGTCTAAGGCGCGGATAGTCAGTCTGGTCTTCTTCCCCTTCCCTCGCGGTTGTGTACGAAGTGTACGAGAATAGACGCGCAAGGGCGACTATGGATAGGTACTTGGATGAGTGTGGCGTAGGCTGTGTCCGTTGGTGAGACGTTGACGTTGGTGAGACGTTGACGTTGGTCTCATATTTTTCGTATCGAGGGTTGTCCTTCTTCCTCGAGGCGCGGTCTCATTGTAATGGCCCACTCTGATTCCGGTGGCCGGGCAGGTTCCACGTTGGCTTTTCTCTTTCTTTCGTCTGCTCAGCAATCGGCTCGGTGGTGATACTGGGATAGCCCTGACAGCGAGTTTTTGAAGCTCCCTCTCCCGTCGCATATGGAAACAGGTTGGGGTTCCTTGAGTAAGAGAGGTAGATCATTCATCTATCAGTCAGCGGTCCTGATTCATTGTATTTTCGGCTAGAACAGGTCCATTGACGTCAATTTTGTTTGTAGTTTGGCATGCTTGATGGAGGCAAAGGTTAAGGTGGTAAATGTTGTCAAAGACGTCGTGTACCTTGGGACATTGGAACCAAGAGGAGGAATGAGGAAAACTTGGGTATTCATGGATACAACGGTATGCGGTAAGGTACTGGGAACTGGGTATTGGGTACGGAGTACGGAGTACAGGATGCGGTTGGCCCCAGGTTGCAGAAACGGCCTCGCGTGTTTCCCATTACTTGGACCCCGGCTCAAAAGACAGGTGCGATGTTAATGGACGAGTTGGGTCTGACTTCTAAGTGGCCCTTACCCGGGGCGCGGGGGGGGATTGGGGGTTTCCTGAAGCAAGCACGTTTCCAAGTAAAGGTATCTTGACCTGGATTGGCGTCACTAGGTGGGCTCAAGCTCAGGTATCCATACATGCAGATGTGTATAGCAGGTACCTCTCGCAGTCTCACAGTGCTCTGTACTTACCTTAGATACTCCCATCTGTAAGGTACCTTAGGTTAACTTGACTGCCGCTGGGCACCTCCCCTTTGGCGTCCACAGGTCTGGTGCTTCCTACCGGGAAATAAATGGTGGATAAGAGCATGAGTAGGTAGGTATCCGTACCTTCCTCCGTACTCCGTACTGTATTCCCGCCCCGAATTGCGCAATCCATCAGATCTGACAAGTAATGGTTCGTGATACATAGATACCCGTAGCCTGTGTGTAGGGTCGTGGCCGAAGGGCAGGTATCTGTCTAGCACCAATTGTACCTGAAGTAAAGTACCTATATACCTTACCTTACCTAAGGTAAGGTAGGCTTGCAAACGTTCTCGAGTGCTTTGGACTTGGTTGGTTCTCAAGACAGGATACTTTGTCCCTCTTCCATTGTTAGACCCGCTACCATCCTCAGGAACCAACCTACCTTACCTTACCGACACCACCAGCTAGCCCAGGGTCAGGTCCCGCTATCTCCCCCTCCTTTGGACCCCCTCCCCCTCCCCATCCCCCTCTCCTCCGCTTGCGCCGCCTGTCTCGATCCCATTCCCAAGTCTCTCTTCCAGTCTCGCAATGTAAGGTATCTACGGAATACCTTACCTACCTGCCGTGCCTCACCCATCACACTTCTCTTTTATCGTCTTTCTCGACTGTTGGTGGAAGACAAACCAGAAACACACGCAGGTGATAACACCTCGAACTAAATAAAGCCTGACCAACGACTCTGGGTCAAGGCCTCATTAGACGCCCGCCTGCCTACTTATCCACCACATCACATCGAGAGACAAGACACTGTGACATCTCTACAAAGACAAATCTGCAGCGGGGTAAGATTACCTATCTGACCTACCTACGGATACCTTACAAGTTACCACAGTACTCCATACACAGTAGGTAGACAAATTCCCATCCCCTTGCCGCACTCATTCCACCCGTCACCTCACTTTATTACCCTTAGCTTGACCATCACACGTTTGCGACATTTCCTTCTCCTCCTCCTTCTCCAGCCTCACAGCCGCCTCACCACCTTCTTTCACTCTCACTCTCACTCTCACTCTTCGCCCCCCCCTCCTTTCACCTTGACTTTCTTCCACCAGAACATCGAGGGTCAATTTACCTCAACTTCATGCCGACCCGATCTGATCTGACCTGGCCTCACCTACCTCTGTAGCCACTTCGCATATTCTCGCTTCGTCGCAGGTCTCTGGTACGTATACTTTGCTCTGAGTCTTTGTCCTCCTCCTGTCTCCAGCTGGGTATTTGCATTCCATACCCCGTCAACCGTCCGGCACCATCCTGAGATCGTCGTCGCCGCAGTCCTTGGCGACCTCACTGCCATTCTCCATTCTTTACTCCCTCTTCCTGTCCAGCAACTCAACTTCCCCTGGCCGTACTTGCTCTTCTCCCCTTCGTCTCGCCTTCCCTCATGGTCTCATCCCCGACATCATACCGGCAGACACATCTATCTAGGTAGGCCACTCCCAAGAGAGAACCACAGAGCGCGCGCGCGCGCGAGAGAGAGAGAGAGAGAGAGAGAGAGAGAGAGAGGGAAAAACGCACCCAAGCGGAAGCAGCTATACACTCCTCGGCCCCGGTCCAGGAGTTCGTGAAGCTCAACCGCGTTGTTCTCTTCCGGGCCCGCCTGCCTCGTGGTGTTTTGTCCCTCCTTTGCGCATCTTCGACGTATCTCGTCTGAAGTCCCGTCGCAGTCGCAGGGGGTGCTCGGTTCATCGCCCGTTCCCCTTACCTTTTGCCTCGTTTCGTTGCGTCGCGACCCGCAACCCACTTGCCCTCACCTCACCAGCACCCTCTCTTGCTGCTCCTCACCTTCCAAACCACGCGGGCTTCCTTTTCTCTGTGCTTCGCGCTTTGCTATCGCTCATCTTCTGGAAGCTTGTCTGCGCTGCACCTGGCTGTCGCACCAAACTCTCCCGGGAGATCGATTGCTTTTCGAGAAGCCACGGAAGAAGGCATAGAGAATAGGTCCGGACACCACCCTCCCGCTCGTCTGTCTGTATGCGGTTGCTCCTTCTCTGCTCTCTTCTAGGTGCCCTGCTCTGAGTCTGCGCTGCGCTGATCAGAACTGCTTTGTCTCTTGCAAACCTGGCTTGGACCTGAGTTCAGTTCCTGGGTCTTGCGGTCCTTTATCCGTACCCGACCGATGACCCAGCTGGTTCTGGTTCAGGACCCTCCCCAGTGCCTCCTCACCTTGCTTAACCTTGCGCATCCCGGGATACCTGCCTGTTCTGTCACTTGACCCGTTGGAGCTCCTTCCAGCTAACACGATTCAGCTAACACCAATTCTCAGCCTGCAGTTCCCGCCTAAAGCAGCCCTCTCAAGTCCGGATACTTGCAATCCATCCATCACACTCACCCCGTCCTCAACCGACAATTTACCTTCCTCTCACACACACACGCACACACATACGTACGTCTCTGCTATCGAGCAAAGACCACAATACACACACTCATCAACAACCACAACCATTTTGTGGTACTCGACGAAAAGAAAAACGAAAGAGTGACCGACATCCGAGACGTTGGCAAGAAATCCAAACACGATCCCGGCCTGTGACAAGCGGACCTCACCCAGCACCCAAGGCCCGAGCGGACCCAAGAAACACGGCCCTCGCCCACTTTCGAACCTCCGACGACACTCGTCCCCTTCCACCCTCCCGTCCGCATCTCTCTGTCCCATCCTTCCCCCCTCTCGAGATACTCTACAGCCGATCTGCCTGTTGTCTGTTCATTGACTGGACCGACCTGGTTGCGTGTTCTTTCTTCCAACCCAACCAAAGAACAAAGTACCGCCGGTTTGCGACCTCAAGCTTTGTGTGTGTGTGTCTGCGACGCCCATCATTTTTTTGATAGCCGCCGTCGGTCGATCCCACCCTTCCTTTCGACAAGTCACAAAAGGCCTGCCCGCCAATAATTATACCCCCCGCAGAACCAAATACCGGAATCCTTTCGCCTCCTTCCTGAACCACCGCGCAAACCAGGCAATTGTGGTTCTGCAAGACGGCCTTATTAGGACGACTTAATTCTCTCCCTCATCCCCCCTTTTTTTTTCTCCGCCCAAGGTTGCATCTCGTTCGCGAGGACCCGCCTGTGTGGTATTACTCCGTCGGCCAACTGCTCCGACAACTTCCTCTCCACATCGACACCATCGTCGCACTTCGCTCACAATGTCGCGCGCGAATCCCCCCAACGCTTCGGGCTCCCGAAAGATCTCGTTCAACGTCAGCGAGCAGTACGACATTCAGGATGTCGTCGGCGAGGGTGCATACGGAGTCGTCTGGTGCGTTATCTACCGTTTTAACCGCAATTCAAGAAATAGCGGATTGCTAACTGGACACTCTATAGCTCGGCGATACACAAGCCTTCTGGCCAGAAGGTCGCCATCAAGAAGATCACACCTTTCGACCACTCCATGTTCTGTCTGAGAACTCTGCGTGAGATGAAGCTTCTTAGATACTTCAACCATGAGAACATCATCTCTATCCTCGACATCCAGAAGCCCCGCAGCTATGAGACATTCAACGAGGTTTACCTCATCCAAGTGAGCAAAGCCTCCCAAGGTGCCATACCCATGGGAACGGGCCGTATACTAATGCCTTTCTCTACAGGAACTCATGGAGACGGACATGCACCGTGTCATTCGAACCCAAGACCTGTCCGACGACCACTGCCAATACTTTATCTACCAAACCCTTCGTGCTCTCAAGGCGATGCACTCCGCCAACGTCCTTCACCGTGATTTGAAGCCCTCCAACCTGCTTCTGAACGCCAACTGCGATCTGAAAGTCTGTGACTTTGGTCTGGCGCGTTCTGCTGCATCCCAGGAGGACAACTCGGGTTTCATGACGGAATACGTCGCCACTCGTTGGTACCGTGCTCCCGAGATTATGTTGACGTTCAAGGAGTACACCAAGGCCATTGATGTATGGTCCGTTGGCTGTATTCTCGCCGAGATGCTGAGCGGAAAGCCTCTGTTCCCCGGCAAGGACTGTGAGTTGGACCCTAATGTGGCCTAATCCAAGGTACAAAGCTAACCAGACATATGACAGACCACCACCAGCTCACTCTGATTTTGGACGTTCTTGGTACCCCGACGATGGAAGACTACTACGGCATCAAGTCCCGCCGCGCGAGAGAGTACATTCGCTCGCTTCCCTTCAAGAAGAAGGTTCCGTTCCGCACCCTGTTCCCCAAGACGTCCGACTTGGCTCTCGACCTTCTCGAGAAGCTCCTCGCTTTCAACCCTGTCAAGCGCATCACTGTGGAGGACGCCCTTAAGCACCCCTACCTCGAGCCGTACCACGACCCGGATGATGAGCCTACTGCGCCACCCATTCCCGAGGAGTTCTTCGACTTTGACAAGCACAAGGACAACCTGAGCAAGGAGCAATTGAAGCAGTTGATCTACCAGGAGATCATGCGGTGAGCGATGTCGCAGGGTATCCAAGCAAGAACAGAAGCAAGCCAAAGAGAAAAACACGGTCCACAGCAGGTGCATGGTGGGTCAGAGAGACATGATCCTGCGGGACGATGACAACGAGAAAACCACAGCGACGCTGCTGAGTCTGAGGGTGGGCAAAGCGATTATAGACAAACCATGCGGGACGGATAGGAGAATCAAGGCCGTGCAGCCCGTGGTGATTGGGAGATACAAAGGAACATATGTGAGGCGAATCAGATTCGACTAGAATCAGTCGAGTGAATGATGGATAGGCAAATACTTTCTCGTCTAATTTCCTCTCCTCTTCCGTTGCTAAACTTGCTTGACTTTCCGTGAGCCCAACCGTATGGAAATCTCCAGCCACCCGTCCCAGGACCAAGAGGTGTTGACGACGTCAGTGATGTAAACTTGACGGATTGATGAAGGACAAGAGAAATCACAGCACGTTACAAAGTTAAGTTACCATACATCTCAGAAACGTGGATTGTCGGTATTGGGCTGACCTGATCGAAGCTATTCAATCAGCAGGGGTTTAACAGCAATTGAGCGCTCAAGAGCATTGGTCAATAACAGGAAGCGTAAGGGAGGATGACCCAAAGATTGGGGAGAAAGAAGTGTGATAATGGTCGAGAGTAGAAATTCTTCGCTACAGGATTGTCAATGGAAGCTTTGAAGGGTAAATAGCCATCTCTCCATGTTACTTTGGCTGTTACTCTCGGAGGAGCCGCAATTGCTTTTCGATGGACTGATATTGGTTAGCTCACCATGGCCCGGAACGTTGTGATTTCAATGTCAGCTGTAGTCGTGTGTGCAAAGATTCCAAAGGCACAGGAGATCCAGCCGTCGGGGGGAGGGGGACTCGGTGAAGTTCTGGTTGAGAGGAGAAGAGAGAGAGAGAGACAGAGAGCATCAAGTGGAAAAGATGAAACTTGGGGACAACGGCTCCGTCATCTAGAAAAAGGAATGTTATTAAAGATAATGAATCTTTAAAGTTGGAGGGGGTATTGTTAAAATCGAAAAAAAAAAAAAAAAAAAAGTCTTTGCAATCCTCGTGTTGTCCGTGAGAGTCCAGTCCAGTCCAGTCCAGTCAGCTTTCTCTTCTTCCCTCCCCGTAACGAGAGTTGGCTTCACGGTGAAAGTCGATCGCGCATTCCCAGAGCAGATAGATGGCGGCAACACTGACGGTGTTTGCCCCCTGGTCGGCTCGTTCCAATCCTTAGAAGAAAGCACAGGTTTTGTATCCGTATGTCGCTTCTCGTGGCATCATTATTGACATGGAATTACCGCAGAAAATTGCTGTCGGCCGTTTTTCGCAAACAACCTTCGCCTTTACGCCCCCTTTGTTCCAACGCCTAGTTTCCAGTCCCAAGTCCCAGTCGTATATATGTGTGGTGTATCTGTCTTCTTCTTTTTGTTTTTTTTGGCATGTTTCCATCTCGCCCCGTTGTGCCACAGAGAAACACGAGCGTCCGCGGTCTCTTCCGTGATCATGCTGCGTACATCAGCGTACTGTTGTTCCGGCGGCCTGTACCTGTAGGCAATCATGCCAGGCCCGTCTCCGTCAACTTTGGGCGGAGGGGAATCTTTCTCTTTTTCTGATTCTATTCTCTGGCAGTCACCATCTTTCAGGCACCAAGCACCCAAAGCTCCACACCCAGCACGCCAAACTTTTCTCCCTCGTCGCTCAGAGGCTCGTTGCCAAAGGTGTGGCTGCGCCCGCTGTGTCCGCGGTCGAGGCTATCGTCGAGCCAGAGGCCGTAGTGCCCGTCACCGGCGCCGACGCTGAGGAAGCCCGTCTCGCAGTTGATGTAGTAGTCGTTGATGCCCGAGTAGGGAAACGCCTTGAAGCGGATAGACTCGCTCGGCGCCGGGGATGGCGCGTTGTTGCGGTCGCCAAAGGTCGAGCGTGTCGGGCTGGCGACCGTAGTGATGCGTGTCAGGTTCGTCGTGTTGGCGGAGGGCGGTGGCGGGAGCGGGGTGAGGGTTGAGGCGCGCCAGAGGAAGCATTCGCCGTTGCCAAAGTATTTGGACGCGGGGTGTGGGTATTCGGAGAGGTATGCGCCGAAAGTCTGGTCATGGAGGAGAGGAGGGGTTAGCTTATTGCAAACATCGAGACCTTTTTTTGGCCACGGTGACAAAGTCACTGGAGTTTTTGTGATATGGACTCGCAAAGACAGGTGCAGTTCAGAGGAGAGGGTTTCACTTACGCCGCCTAGATCGTCCCTCACGACTAGAACAAACCCAATTCGGGGCCGCCCCTGGAACTCGGCAGCCTTTTGGTATAGTGTTGCCAGGCTGGCGCCGTCCTGCTCCAAGCTGTATATCAACCTCCAGTCCTCCTTGATCCTCAGTCTCTCTGGAAGCATGATGCGAATCTCCTCGGCCACGCCGTGACTCAGCAGCCGGGCACTCTGCGAGGTGCTCTCCTTGTAGCCATGCAGGACAATGGGGTCGAGAGGCGGCGGACGGAATGGGCTCGCGGTTCGAATGGGTTGTTGACTGGGAAAGAAGACGCCGTTGATGCCATCCTGGAAGCCCCCACTACCGCCGGCGGGCTCGGTATGCGCGTGGGAGAGGTGTGAAGGCTCGTGCGGGTGTCCGTTGTGGCCGTACGACTCTGGGATGTCGGAGGAGAAGCGGCGTATTAGACCGGACCACATTGTTGTGATGACAGAGTTCGATAACGACGGTGCGGTGGAGGAGGAGTGGGTTGGCGTGTGTGCGCCGGAGGAGGATGGTGTTTCTGGAGGACTCTGGTAAGCCATCTCTTCTGTCTTGACGTCCGGGTCAAGCCAGCATATGATGTCGAGGGCCGGCAGTGGGTGGTCGGACGTGGTGGGGTGGCTAGGTCCGGTTTTCAAGGGTGGGCGTGGAGAAGATAGCGTGGCATATATGGGAACAGGTCGACTACGGTGGTCGGACAGGGGCTTATCATCGAGTAGATGGGCGCTATGTGAGAGTAGTTGAGGCGGCGGGGGTGCGAGTCTCTCTGTGTCTCTCTTTCTCTTTCTTCCTCTCCAGGCTAAGGGTATGTGCTGAACGAGAACGACAGTGGTTTTACAAGGGGCGGTAGTGGGTGAGCAAAAAAGAAAGAAAAAAGCAAGATGGGCTGGCTGGCTGGCTTGGGCTGTTTGACTTGGTGTCGTGTTGATTAGGCAAGGCGAGTGGAAGTGGCCGGTAGGAGGTTGAGTAGGGTAATCCGAGAGTAAGCTGGGTCGTTGGACAACGGGGCTGGTCGCCGGTGCAACTTTTAGCTTTCGGCCAACGGCGGTGAGTTCGGATCGGTCCCGCCGCAGAAGAGACTGGGTTGGTCCGGCGGATACACACCGAGTTCTGGAGATATGTGGAAGTATTTGTAGATAGGTAAGGTTGCTAGGATGGGGAAGAGTAGACGGGGAGAAGTTCCAGTTCGTTCATGTGGCGGGGTCGTTTATTGGGAATTGGCGACGGGAGGAGTGAGTTTCTGTTCAAGTCGCGATAAGTAGGCCAGTTGTTGCTAGTTCGAGATTGGATTTCTCTGTGCAAAGACGGGCAGTAGATAACTGTTCTTTCCCTTCTTCCTTTACCTTTGGATACCTTACCTTGAGCTGTACGGATACCTAGGCCCGCTACCCAATCACCCAAGGCAGGTAGACAGCAGTGGATTGACACTTTGACGTAACGCCCAAGCTACCTCGGTGTGGTGTGTACGGGCACGGTGCATTGGCTTGCCCCCGGCTTGACGTCGTTGGGGAGCTGTCGACGCTGAGTGGACGCCGCTAAATGAGGGGTAATTAGGTAGGTGTTTGGCCTGTAATACTCCGTACATACCTAAGGTATGCATCGGTACGGAGCACGTAACTAATCCTACCCAAGGCTCGGCGAGGTTGCTTCACGTTGTTGTTCCTTGACTTTGGCTGCTCTCTTTCCATGTGTCAGCACCACATGTCTAACTGTATAGCTACCTACCTTACGTAATATCTGGCAGATATTCAGACGGTAAGGTAGGTAGGTACGTAACTATGACAGATGTCTCTCGGGACGGGAAGTGCAAGTGGTGTGATTCGACAAGGGTTCGCGACTAACGGTGCAGCTGGCCGCCGCCACTTCCTGCCAGCTGTTCATCACGGGACCCCAATCTTTCCTTATCAGTCGTAATCAGACTAAGCAGTAGGTATCTGTACTCTGTATCATCATGGCCCCATTTGCGTCCCAGATTCATGCTTCTTTTTCCTGCCGGCCACCCCCGGCCGGGCGCCCGGACGGCCGGTCTCGTCTCCGGTTACGTACAAGTCGCAGCCATTCATGTCATCTTACCCTAGCATTACTTGATGAAATGGGCACACGCGGGCACTGCTGATGCCTCACAATCACCAACAGGAATTAATAGTGTCACAGTAGTCATGTTACGAATATCACTTTGAACGCACTCATTTCATGGGCTAAGTTTTCACTTTGTAGGATTCATCTAACAAAACCATTACAGTGGAACAGGCTTTGGTGCTGTTCCCTCCCGCCGTCGCAAGCCCGCGCTTATAAGAAGCTGGTTCGGGAGGCGGGAAAAGAATTTGGAGTGTCTCATGGTCAAGAAGGCTTGACTTTTGCTTCGTGAGAAGGAAGAGAAACAAGAACGAAAAAAAAGAGCTCAGTAAATAGGAACACGGGCGTCGTGGTCCCGTCTCCTCAAAACACCAAATACACCATAACCGGTCCCCGAATAGTATAAAAAGGGTCCCTTCATTTTTGGTTGGTATCCGTCATCATACCCTCTCATCTCAATCTCTCAAATCCATATCAACCGCCGTGGTTGTTCTTCAAATACCCCTCCCATATCGCGTGAAAATCGTTCCCTTCTTCTGGTGATTGACCCCATCCCTGTCAACCCTCTCAACCCTCTTCGTCTCCAACGTTTATACAAGTAGTGAAAGATGCTTTGGTAATACATGATGATGGAATCCTCCTCCCCCTTCACAACGCCTTGCCGACGCTGTTCTGGCTTCCTCCGCTGGGCCTCCTCACGACATTCTTCTTTTGCTCTCCGGATCTGTACCCCGCAACCGGGCTCTCGGCGCCCTCGGTGCGATAACCAGGTCCGCTCGAGGGCCCGACGTCTGGTCCTGGATCACTCCAGCCGTCCATGCTCACACCACTGCTGTATTTCGAGCTGAAGCTATCCGCACGCGTGTGAGCATTGCCCGGTACACGAGGTGCGCCGCCGCCCTGGCTGTAGTTGCTGCTGGCCTGCGTCAGCCGGCCACCGCTACTGCTACCGAGACTGCTGCTCAGGAGTTCGGGTCTTTCCAGATCAAACGGATCAGATCGGAACTTGTTACGCCTTGTCGCAAAGCTCTCGACGCTTTGCATCGAGTCTCGGTACATGGAGTCCAGGCGCGGAGAGTAGGTTGAGCCGCTAGGGGGCCTGGTTGTACCGCCGCCAACGGATGTTCCTCTTGACCGGCGAACGTCAGCGACGTATGTCGACGACGGTTTTCTTGCGGCGGCGGGTGCTGATATGGCATTGGCATCAGAGAAGGGGTTGTTGCCGTTGCCGTTGCCCGGGTTGGCCACGGCGAGCGGTGCTGGCTTTGCCGAGTTGTGAGGCAGCGCGTTGATATCAGAAAAGGGGTCGGCGGAAGCGTTGTCAAAGTTGAGTCCCAGGCCGCCGAGGAAGTGATCGGCGGAGCCGGCGCTGCCTTGGTTCCGGCTCACTCGCCTCCTCTGAGCTTCCCGTTCAACCTCCCTGTCGTCCATGCCCAAGAGCGTCAAGAAGTCGGGCTGTCCGGGCGCGGCCGCTTTCCTATCGCTCATGTTGCGAGCTGAGGCGAACGGGTCCTTTTCGACATTCCTGTCGCCGCGGAGTCGCCAGTTGAATTTCATATCAGCCGTCAACCGTTCCCACCAGTCCTTGACTCGATCCTTTGTCGTCACGACGTCTCGTGGTCCACCATGGTTTGATAGAGACGAGCTGTTTCGGCTGTGCTGGGAGATATTCATAAACTGAGTGCGGTCGTTTGTCGAGCTGCTATCCCGGTTACGTGAGACCAATCCGCCAAACTGGCCGCGGAACCTTTGAAAGTTGTAGCCAAGCGCGGCCTTGAGCTTCGCTGAGCGTGGTGTTGGTCCCAAAGATCCTCTGTCAATGACATACGAAGACTTTTCCCTGAAGCTGGGATCCGTGGACAACGGGGTGAGAAGCGTGCTCCGACGCTTCTTCAGCAACCTCTTCCGCCAGAACCAAAGCAGGAATCCAAACAAGCCAATCACCGCCACAGCACCAACAACACTCGACGCAATCACGACAGGAGTAGCCACGCCTCCAGATCTGCTGCTCGAAGCAGGAACTTGGCTGGTCGTGGGAGCATCGTTCCCTGTCCCTGCCTCGCCTGCGGCAGTGCCTGGATTCAGGGGCGGCGAAGGCGAGATAGCGCCAGCGCCTGCTCCCGCGCTGCTCGTGGGTGAGGGTGATGGGCTGGCTTCGCTGAAAAACGCGGGGGGCGCTTGAGAAGGAGTTGGTGTTGGGACTGCGTTGGCATCAGTCTGGCTGGTTACTGGAACGGGTGGCAACACGACTGGGGCAGGTATTGAGGAAGAAGAAGATGAGGCGGGGGGGAAGATCTGGGCGGGAGTAGGAGGAGAACTCTGCACAGGAATGTTGGGAATATTTTGAAAAGTGGGAATCGTCGCCGGCGGTTCAGCGTCAACGATTGGAGGCTGAGAAGAAGAAGACGTTGATACTGCTGGAACCGGCGGCGGCGGAGGTGGAGGAGGGCTCGATACGACTGGAGCAGGCGGCGCTTGTGTCTGCTGTAGAGGCAGTGGTATTGAAGAGGGAGTATTCACTACTGGAGGAGGGGGAGGGGGAGGAGGAGGAGGAGGAGGAGGTAATGAGGAGCTCGTCGTACTCGCTGAACTAGTTGTCAAAACAGCTGGTGGTGGCGGCGGCGGCGGTGGTGTTGTTTGCGGTGGTGGAGGAGGCGGAGGCGGAGGGGCAGGAGCAAGAGTAGCTACTGCTGGAGGCGGCGGCGGTGATGAGCTCACTTGCGGAGGTGGTGTCGATCTTGTCGTCGAGTGTGTTGTCGATGTCGAGTGAGACGTACTCGTCGAGGCACGTTGCTGGTTGTTGGACTTTGACTTATTCCCATTCCTCGGCCTCGCCGTACACCTCTTGCCATTGAAAGTCGTGATGAAAGCCCCATCCGGGAGGTTCGCGTTCCGATTTGGACTCGACATTGCTGCAATATGTTGCGATTCCAGTCGCAAAAAACTGAAGAGTTTCGAGAATCGAACAAGGGCCCCGAGACGGGTTGAAGAAAATAGACTGATACTAGGAGAAGCCTAGCCGGCCATCTAGGTCGATTCGCAAAAGCTCATTAGGAACCGGTTCCTTCTGAAGCATAAACGGCGAGAGAGCCGTGAGAAAGTAGGTTATTCGATGGACGAATACGTGTAAGCCAGTAAACGCTGCGCGCAGACAGTCTGAAAGGATGAGACTGTCGTCGAAGATGAAAGTCGTCGAAGTCGTCGTTCTCGGTATCGAGGCGAAGCGAAGAAACAAGACGCTGAGAATAGAAAAGATGCAATCACCAAGCTAGTTGGGAGACGAAGAAGGTGAAAAGTCGAAAAGGTGTGAGAAGGGTGTTACGGAAAGAATCGAAGGTGGTGGTGGTAAGGAAGAAGACGAGGAGGGTGATCGGGGTAAAGGGAGTGTAAGAGACTAAAGGAGGGTATGGCAGGGTAAGGTATGGTCGGGCAAGGTTATGGTTAGGTATGGTAGGGAAGACTAAGAGAGACCAGCCAGGGCCTGGTCGGGTGTGGTTTGGTATGGACCGGTTTGGACTGGTACGGCAGGGTCTGAGTCTTGACTGAGGCTCGCGGGATGTCTCTCCGATCGTGCGGGACAGGGACCACACACACCTCTTGCTGGACCTCTCACAAACAGAGACGGGCACCAGTTTGCAACATGCAAGCAGGCACTTGCGTGTTACACGATATAGCATGGACCACAGGCGTGTGTACTGTGGTATCGAGGACTGATGTGTGTTATCCCATCAGCCGGGGGAGGTGAGCACCGTTGAGGGAGTAGGGTTATCCGTGGGCCGTACAGACTTTCCGTACAGAGAGTATCCGTACCTTACGGTAGGAAGAGGATGAGGAGTACCTATTCGTACGGAGAGGAGAAGAAGGAGGAGGAGGAGGAGGAGAAGGGCGGTAGGCGCCGAGCGACAGCGTTACTTCGGGTACGTCTCCTTACTCTAATCGAGGACGACCGAAGTGACAGACCCTAGACCATGAATGGGCCAGAGGCAGAACTAGACCAGAACAGACTCCAGACCAGGCCATACCAAAGTTACCAAACCCAAGTAAGGTACTAAACCCATCACAGGGCGCCGAGGACGGGCATGCAAGTCTGTAGCCGCTGCAGCTGCAAATGCAAGGCATGCCGCAAGTCGCAAGAGCAGGAACTTGAGAGATGGCTTTGCGTCCTTGGTATCCTTACACTAGTACGATTCTAGACGCAGTCTCCCTCAAGCCAGTTGTTTGACTCGACTTGACGGTTAACCCGACTCGTGGAACGGACTCTCTTCTCATGACAGCAGGAGGGCAGAGAGCCTCACGAGAAGCGGCAGTACCAGCAGCAGCAAAGCACGGGCATTGATGGTGTCTGTCGCAGCATGGAAGGATTGATCAATGTTTGATGGATCTCTCCTCTCACACACATCTCTTTCTCGGGCGCATCGCGGGATTGATCCAACGGGCATTGGTGGCCGTGTCTGAGAAGGTTCCTTTGGGAAGAGAGTGACAGGATGTAGTTGCTGCAGCGCTGGGACCCGGGTATTGATGGACGAATCATGACGAGAGTAGGAGCATAGGCGCATCAAGATGGGAACCGATGCTGCAGGGATGGGGTCTGACCTTGAGAGACTTGAACGTTCCCCAACAACGGCTGTGAAGCGTGAACATTGTGTGTATGGGAGTGGAATGGGAGAGAGAGAGGAATGGGATTGGGCGAGGGAGGAAGAGGAAGAGATGTAGTGTCCAGTCCAAAAACGGCGACCCCCCTGTCTGTAACACACCTGAAGCACGAGAACCCGCCTCCAAGCAGCCCCAGGCACGTTCCAGACCAGGGGTCCCCAGCCTCACTAGTAACCACTACCGGCTGACAAGTTTGCTGTCCATTGATCGGTCACTTCAGTAGTGTCTACGAATACCTAGAGAATCATCTCTTTTGCTGTGTATCCGTCAACTCTCCATTCTTCATTGGGCTGGTTGGGTTCACCGTTGACCGTTCCGTCTGCGGTCTGCCTATGATAGTCTAACCCTAAACACGTTGGTTGGCGGCCCCTCCACACCTTGTTTTCCTTGGTTCACTTGGAATCTCATGCCAGACATGCCAGACATGCCAGAACCATCGTCGACTTGCGCTACAACTGACAAGCTTATCGGTAGTTCTCAGCTTGATTGCTGGTGACTGGTAATAGAGGTAGTCACTGCCTACCTTACCTTACCTAAAGGTAGTGTGAAGGTCAAGTGTCGTGGATAAGTGTCGTGGATACGTAGCTACGTACCTACCGTTACCCCTGCATAAGTCTCGTCTGTGGCGCCGAATCGGCCAACTGCGGCCTGCCTTGGAAACACCGCAACTGCTGCAAGACACCGTGGTGTGGGGCCTTCCCGTCGCAGCGCATCCAACTGGGAAAGGGAACACTTCACCTGAGGGTACGTGCCCGCCTTGAGCCAGAATCTTCCCAGTGGCATTTTCCATGCTTTGTCGAATTCCATCAGCTGCGTACCTTACCTTACCGTGTACCACCTCACGAATGACTACGATAGTACGAATGCCAGAGCTCTTCTCGCCATTGTTCGGGTGTGACCCGACCCTCCCTTTTTGTTTATGGACCGTTGCATGTCGAAGAAAAGTCGGAACGACACCTCTCCGTCTCCAGCAACCACCGATTCTTCAATATCCATGCCCCGTGTGTGTCTGGCGTCATGCAGCAGAAGCGGCAGAGCATCACCGCCATAGACGCAATATATGCGCAATAAACCCGAGATACTTGGGCTATATCTGACGTACCTGCGTATCCAAAGCACCACTTAAGTAATAGTCCTCTCCCATCCATGGCATCCCACATACGTAAACGAATATACGTGTAGATGAATCATGGCTGGCCGTGCTGGATAAGGGCGACGACCAAGTCAGGCCAGATTAGGTGCGTGCGTCCTCAACCCCTCCATTGAATTAATCTATCTCGAGTTTATTTCTCCTGTCTGCGGATACTACCAAGAAGTCATCGCGAAACTTCTCAACCCCGGCACGCCGCACAACGCTTCGGAACATTCTTGGCTTTGCCCCCTCGCCCACTGCGCCGTTGGCCCCTCATTCCTCATTCTCCGAAAGTTCCCACCTCGTCAGCATCAAAAGTAGTCTGTAAATAGATTCTAGCCTCCGGAGTGCGCCCTCTCGGCCATGATCTCTCAAACAAATATGCGGCCCGCTCTCACCGCTGGGCTGGCCCAGGGCAATGCCCCCCCCCCCCTTCTCGCCTGTTGTGCGCATCCGGAGAAGGCCTGCCGCGGCTGCCACCGCCGTGGCATTCGCAACTCCTCCTCACTGGTTCCCAGACTCACAGGTTGCAACTCGCTCCCTTTTCGGCTGTGTGAGACACCATCCAACGCTCCTGTGCCCACCAGCCTGCAGGAAACAAGAAACACCATGCACGACGCATCGCCTCATTGAGTCGCTTTAAGAGAAGTGGAGTCGTAATCGTCGTCGTCGTCGTCGTCTACGGAGTAGGTGCGCTTCGACCGAACTGCGGACATATCACCACACATCTACAATCCCCATCCTCACCTCGTGGTTGGCCGTAACTTGCAAAGACCCTTCAACCAAAACTCCAAATATCGTCCCTCCTTCGGCCAAACCCCGACTTAATCGCTTCACCTCATTTTCTGAGCATGAATGTCACAAGCAGACAGAGGTCGGAAGGAACCCTTTGCTCGGTCTTTTTGTACACTTGGACTATCAGAGCACGACTGTCACTGAATCCCCTCGGGACCCTTTTGCCCTCATCCATCTTCACTCCTCAAGATCATGCTCGCCAAGACCGCACCATTGCTGGGTCTTGACTAACTTGTGAAGGTCTCTGGTCACAGGTGAATTAAGACTAGTATGTCTATCTGTTGCAGGCAAGTCCCCTGGTCCTCATGACCTCGTGGCATAACCACCCAAAGTGGACGCTTGAGAGGGCAGTCCCGCAGGCTCTTCCCAGACTGGTCCACGAAAGCGAAGACCACCCTGCAAACCGTTTCCAAGAGACTCTTTTCACTCTTTTCATGGTCTTGGCCCGTCTTACCCGCAATTACACCCTGCCACGGCTGCCCACTGAGGAGGGGCACGCCGCACGGGGGTGGTCACTAGCGACCGAGACGTCAAACACCCCAGGGGCTAGTCGGTCGATCATTTGACACGGGTATCCCCTGGGAAAACATGGCAAAGCGTCTTACTGTCTACGGATATTTGGGCGCCGTTTTGTCCCCCAACTTCCCAAGCAGCAGCCGGAAAACGGGTCAAGTTGTTCCCTCTACGAATACCTACTGCGGTGTACAAGGTGTTGTCGAGTTGGCGCGTCTCGGATATCGACATGAAGAATGCGGCGCACAACCTTTCCAAACGTGCTCACCAGCACAGCACAGCCCGAATGCCTCACGTCCAGTTCGCGCACACCGAGTATATAGTGCCGGTTTGCCACTTGATGTCGCAAAGATCGGATTCTTGGTTATTGCGCCCTTTCTGGGGAGGAAGTTGCGTTTGACAGTTTATCCCAAGATGATGAATCCGTAAAGTTGGTCGATCATGTTCGGGTTGTCAATCCTCCTGACATGGTCAATGCAAACTTACAGAGTATTGAAGAGGGGATCTTCACTTCCGATGATGCATATCACCCAAATAGGACAGGGTATAGGGCTTAATAGAGTGACACAAGCTTAACGAAAGATCAAGACTCCAAGAGAAAGGGAAGTCGACCCCGGCCGGCTCAAACACAGACCGAGCTCCTCTCCTCCGTGCTCCCCCTACCCTACCCCCATATGACGAGACTATAGCCACTATATGGGGCTCTTTTTGCAGTGTACGGAGTAATAAGTGTTTGTTGTGTTTTGCCTCCTGTGCTAGATCCCCGGATTATCAAACGATGATGAACAACCATAAAACCAATAAGAGTGAAACTCGACGACGACAAACATTTTTTCGCAAGAGCAACTAACTGTCCACAAGCGAGCAAAAGGCCTCCTCGCAATCACCCCCCGTCAAGTGTTCACATTGATGATTAATGGTTCTATCTGTTCGAAAGTCGGGACCAACATCTTTCAGGGCCCGGCCATCAAGAGACTCAGACGACGTGTTGGGCGCCTGGACGAAGAACACGTCGTCGACTTCTCAAGAAAGCTGCTTACTTCGCGGTGTCTTGAAAGCGATTGGTTTCCCCCCCCCCCCTTTCTTCTGCCGGTGGACGGATGGTGTGACTAGTTCGACATCTGTTCGACACTACTGTCGTAGAGACCAAAAAAAGGTCAGATGGTTTTTTGTGTTGACGGGCTGGCCGAGTACAACCAGTCAGAGGGGCAAGTCAACTAAAACTCTACGGGAAAAGACAGGACGAACGAACAAGTGACAAGAAGAAGAAAAGTCAATCGAGCCCCTCGAGAGAAGGGTTCATCAGTTTTGGACTTTTGGAGGAGGGGAGAAAAAAAGGGCTGTGCAAAAACTGCAAAAGATGAGAATTGGGTCTTTGCACTGAGGTGGATGGTTTTCCTGCTACTTCCCACACCCCTCTTCTCGGCTACAGACTGCAGTAGGCCGAAACGAAGTACGCGTACGTACGCATGTTCCCTACTTTTGACATTGACAGTGCCCTTCGTGTTCGTGTGTGTTGCAGGACTCTTACTCTACTTCACTACTTAGGTTTCCCAAGGATTGCTGCTCGGGACTTATTAGGTAGTGCAAGTAAAAAAGCTCGAGAGTAAGCTTAATGCCAACGTTCAACCCGATGAGCCCTTTAGACATAACAAAGGGGACCCGGGGAGCGGAATAGAGGAGCAATAGCATACACGGTAAGGTAGTAAATTGATGTTCCCCCCATCTATCCATATGCCCCCCCCTCCCCTCCCATGGGTTTGCCCAGGTCATAGGTCCAGTGCGTGTCCCTGGGTGCGCGGGAAATTTCTTGAAACCAAAGGTACGAGAGAAGGTGCAGTTACCTTGTCTTTCCTTACTGCGTAGAATCAGAAAGGCGGGGGAAGGGGAGAGAGAGGGGGAGAAGATTGATGCTAGGTGCAAGTCTTGTCTCCTGGGTTGCTGCCTTGCTGCGTGTCTCACTGCGGCACTCCGCTCTGCACGCTAGAGCAAGCCCCGAAACACGGGAGCCCGCACCGGACGGTCGGGACAGGTAACCACAGCTTCGGGGGATTTTTTTTTTTGGCAGCCTGTGATTACTGAGATGTTCCGACTGAGGATGTTAATATGATATAGTACGGCGATCGTGACCTCCGGGTCATTGTTGGAAGAATTTCCCCCACAAATGGCTACGAGGCAACATCGGTACAGGATGGGGATAGTTCAGGCCTATGTCGTTTTTGTGCTCGTATTGCATGCTGGATGAACGAGGGCTACACCTATGTATTCCTAAAATGTATCTACGTGACAGGGCAGAATTCATATATACTACCATACGCACATACGATATACCCTCACGCCGAGACAAAAACATATTGATAGGGCGACTAGCGTGTAGCGGAATGCATGACGTCGGGATCTGTCTTGTCCATGTTCACATAATGGCACCAAGCCGGGTCCACCATGCGGCGGAGCGGCCGGGCTCCAGGTCCCGGAGCGTTGGATATCGTCCCGTTGGTCGGGGGTCGGGGGCCCACCCGACACTAGGTAGGTCTCTGTTGTCCCGCTTGTGTTTCTCCGATCCGCTAGTTGACTCAGCAGCTTCCCGTCCTTTCCACTGGCAGCCCTCCCCGGCCTCCCCGACATTGTCGACGAGCTCCTCGCGGAAACATTAACCGGAATGCCGCAGGAAAGGAATCGGGACCAACCGGACAAGACGGAGAAAATAACCGTGGCCGTAGCCTTGGGCTTGGGAGTGCTCACCGTTGCTAGAGACCGGCCTCACTCACCCACCTCCCGCTCCCGTCCGCCTTGAAGGTCTCATCGAGCTAGATAGAACCCCTCAGTTGTACGGAGTACCCCTCGCGCCACTGTTCCTCTTAAACGCCCTCGCACGACATCAAATCACAGCTCTCAGCTGGATTTGTTCTCAGGGATCAAAGGTGAGCCAAACGGTAAAACCAACAGACAAATGCGCAATTGACCTATGAGATATGGCGCAGACCCCAGGAGAGAGGACGTTGGTGCCCGCAGAGCTGCAGAAACACTGCATTGGTGCACTTATATCCGTACGTTGTGGGGTCCATGTTCCGGTCGTGGTTCCAACAAGCAAAAGCAGGAGGCCGGTCATACGCACCCACCAACCAGTCTCTACGCCGTACATAGATCCGCATGGGATGTGGGAAACTCGCTCCAACAACGGACAACAATCGCACATTATGCCTTTTTTTTTTTTGCAATGATTTGCCAAGATCTCGCTTCCAACGGCTTCCGCTCAGTTGTTGGATAAAACTCCTCTTCTTGCCCACCACACTTTGCCTTTAGCAGCAAGCCGTGGTACGGAACGTCCGCACCCCCAAGTAGGTGCACATGCACACTGAGCCCATCGTCCGGGGTCTTTTGCTTGAGGTGCTCCATTGACTTAAGACCGACCAGGCAGGTAACGGGGGCCTGCGTAAATGTTCTCCTCCGTACCAATTGCAGCGCTACGGAACCCATTTCTGCTGCTGCTTTCTCTGTGTTGGGTGTTGCCTCTCCTGTCTCCTTTCTCACCTCGTATGTGTGTGCGGGTGTATGTGTCCCTCTCCCCTTTCCCCTCACCATCCGGCCTCCTACTCTCTAGTTTCTACACCATCACGCGTCCCACTATCTGCTTCTTCCTCCCAGCTACTTGGGTCGGAATTTGTATATGTTTTCTCTTTACTCGTATGCAGCACATGTCATCTTTTGACTTTGCAGAGTGGAGAGCGCTGCTGATGAATCATTTCAGTGTTACACAATTAAACAAAAAACTACCAAGACCTTGCTTGCCAACAAGACGGGAATTTCCATCTGGGCAACTGAATACATCTCTCTGCAGTTTGCATCGGTATCTCCAACGAAAGCAAACCAGGCTTCGCTCGACCCCGCTCGAACGTCGCGTATACCCGTACCTTACCTTATTACCTACTCAAAAAGACCCCACCGCTTTTACCTAGTGCTATCGCCGGCCGGACCACCTCACACACTTCCCCGTCCTGGTTTCCTCTACCTACCCTCCCGTCGCCTCATCTCACATCCCACGTCTACCTGCTGGGAAATTCATAGCCAAAAAAAAGGAGTCGTGCCATCTCATACAAAACTTATCGGAAACTTTTAGCTTTGACTTTTGCGCCAATATGTTTGGCACGTATCCCGCCTTGGGTGAGTTTACTATTTTCATTCAGTGCAGCCAGTGCCGGTCATTACCTTACTTCATCTATTCCGAATAAGACGAAATTGACAATGCTTTGTGACCTTTTTTGGCGTCTTTTCAGAGTCAAACGTCTATTGTAACGATGGCGCCCCCGCGCCCTATTCATTGCTGAGCGCAAGTGGTCATCCGTTTCTCTGTTCCCCCCATTCTCCTTCGTCGTTTCCTTTGCATCGTCTTGCCTCTGCTTTCCTCTTTCTCATCTTCCCAAATTACCATATCCTACTGTATCATCCATCAATGCCTCCCACGGCTTTACCTGCTCCAACCATAAAACACAGAAGCCGTCAATGCCGTTACCTGTCGTGATCCTGCAACGGGAGCCCATCCCTTCCGCGCTTGATCTACCTCCATTCTTTGGCGCCGCTTCCTTGGCGGTCCGTCCGCGGGCTCGCCTGGTCTCTCGGCCGGCGTCCGCTTTCCGTCACCCGAATTTCATCTCACCCGGCAATTTCACATCTCTCAGTGCCCAGCCAATCGTACCAACGGGTGCCTCTTACACGTTCTCTGAATTGCCAGAGCTGTCGTGGCACTCGGATACTTCAAAGTTGTTCATAAAACATGTCATCCTAACAAGAGCTTTTGCTAGCAAATCTGCCAACCGCAGTCAAGATCGACCCGAAGGATATCCCACCTCCAACGCCGGTCACGCTGCCGCAGAGTCGACCTCAGTTGAATGCTGCTTCGACGTCGGCCGGCCAGAAAAAGCCACTGACTTCGGTCCTGCAGGACATCTATCGCCCGGGAGACATCAACAACGCCATATTCGACGCTTTGGGGGTGCACCTCATCCCGGATGCTCCCACCGCGGATCTCATTCCTGATTCCGCCTACCTGCCCGACTTTGAAGGCTGGGGCAAGTTCTCCCCAGAGGAGGCACGTGAGAAGAATGCGGAAACCCGCGTGGTGCTGAACAACGGCGCCCAGTCGCCCGGCTGCCAGACTTTCCTCGATCGTCAGCGTGAACTATCTCACTCAAACGAGGATGCCTTCCGGACCGTGAGGCGCATTCCCGCTCCCAAGGGGCAGCAGCAGGCTCGCCTCGGCAACTCGTACGAGTTCTTTAGGTGTCTCGAGGCCTTCACAACCTATTGGGATGACCCCACGAACCCGTACGTGCATACCGAGGAGGCCGAAGGGGCCAAGGATGTCGTCGTCGACGACGGTGACAAGGCGGAGCGGGACAACCCGAAAACCCCGCAACGACCTCGCATCTTCCGCACCTCGGCCGGCTCATCGATGCCGGGCGAGTACCGCCAGAGCCTGTTGACGGCCTTCCTCAAGCTCGTGGCATACGATTTCGGCTGCAACGTCTCGGCTCCCAGGACGGAACCCCGTCTCCACATCGTCAGCGGGCCATCGTCATCGCCTTCGTCGCAAGCGCAACTCTGCAAGCGCCAGCAAGCCGCAGTAGCCGCCGCAACCCCGAGGACGTCCTACTTCGCCTCCGGATGCACCTTCATCTTCCGCACCCCTCGCACGCGCGAAGCAGCCCGTCAGGGCATCGTAGAGGGGCCCCTAGCCGCCGTTTCCGCGCGCGCGAGCATCTCCTTTGATAAAGAAAACGAAGAAGTCATTGACCTGGCCCGCGAACTCGTCGCCGCCCTCCTCACGGCGCAGCACCGCGCGCGCGAGGGCAAGACGGAGAAGAAATTCGGCGATGGCGCATGGTGGACGACGAAACCGCGCTGGGGCGGCGGGTCGGGCGGGCCCATTGGTCGCGAGGTCGAGCGGGATGCCATTCAGGGGGACAAGGACGATGCTGCTTCCGCCTCCGCTGCCGGCACTGGGGCTGCGGCCTCTGGAGAAAGGGGCCAGCCCGCGGCCAAGAAACCGCGCAAGAACATGTCCATCTACGATAACTACCGCATGGTCCGCCCTCCTTCGGCCAGCTGGGACCGCAAGACGCGGTACGAGGCCATTGGGAAGGTCAAGGGCGTCGGCTACGACGACGTCTATGTCATCAGCTCTCTGTTCCACCACATTAGCGTCCTGCGCGTGCGTGTGCCGAAACGGCTTCTCGAGGTGCTTGAGGGCGGCGCCGAGCAGGCCCAGGCCCAGGCCCAGGCCTTGGCTGGCGATGATGTCCACAGGAGCTGGGGACAGGTTGAGGCGCGCCGGAGCCCGTGGTATGATTTCTTTGTGCTCGAGGAGCGGCTTGAGGCTATGAAGCTTGTTTGGTCGCTTATGGGGTGGTTGATGAGAAAGCCTGAGCAGGAGGTGACGGCAGAGAAGACGGAGGAAGATGTTAAGATGGTTGATGCTTGAAATGGGACACACTGGAGAAGAGGAAGAAGAAGGAGAGGGAGGGAGGGAGTATGTCGGATTGAAGTTGGAGAGTGAATGATGATGATGGGAAGAGAAGACGAGTGACCTATTTACTTTTCTTGGGCATGGCGAAGCTTGATAGACGGCTGACAGTGTCAAAAGACCAAGTTTTGATTGCAAATTCTATATCCCCCCTTTTTTCAATGTCACATCTCGATGTTATCGTTTTCATATAATTACTGTAGACATGATGTTTGCTACGTAACTAAGTCAATAAAAAGCCACGATGTCTACAACCTGATCTGACAGAAGTTAGGATCCCATGTCGCTAGCGTTATACTCATTTGACAGTCGAACTGAACATTGTTGCTGGCCTTTGCAATATATAGCATACATCCAGCATAACCGTAAGAGGGTGTCAATAATTTTGGAAACCAGGCTTTCACCATCTTTGAATGGCTAGACTTTTTCTCAAACTCTCTTCTTATCATTTATCTTCCGCTGAAACCAGTTTCTACTTCATTCACGACGACTTTTGCTTTAAGGGGGAGGGGGAGAGATGGGATGGAATATCTGCCAGTCATCCACAGAGCTAAACTATTGGCTTGGCTTTCGTCGAGTGGTAGATAAAGTTCATGCGGGATTGAAGCCAACTCAAATTTTTCCTGTTGGTTGTCCAATGCCCCAGATTGTCGGTGTAGCAAGTAGCCTTTCTGGGCAAATGCATATTCCAAAGTTCAAGGTGATGCTACCAAGAAAAGTGCCCCATGATGCCCAACCTAGACGGGCCGCCAGACCGTGAGAACACGACCCATGCCTTCAAAGGTACCGAGCTAAAACAATGAACGATTTAGATATCGGATCTATTTCTTGACGCACTTGCTGAAGACGACCTACTAGTCCGTGGGAGAGTCATCTGGCTTTCTTGAGTATTCTCAGTTCATCAAAGCCGAGTCCCAGCGAGTTGTGTTCAACAACATGGAGTATAGCATAGGCAAACCCGCAGCAAAACATGTACCGCCAATGCTTATTACCTTGTGCACTGATCCATCCACCTTATGATCCTCAGTACAACATCAAAGGTAAAAAGCTGCACAAACACATCACGACAAGATGCTACACGTGTTCTATGCATGGGAGATCACCCGAGAAGCAAACCAATGTCAAAAGCCAAAGGATGCAATTGTCAACAGGGCGATCCCTTACATATTGCCTCGATTCCTGACCAATCAACGCTCCCCTCTGACACAAAAAGAGTTTAAATGCAGTGGAATAAAGACATACCAAACCAAACAATGAGGTATCAAACATTCCTTGAAGACATACTACTACTGCAAGTGGTCCACCCCACTCGGTTACGAGAAATGTTTACGGAACGTCTGTCTCGCGAGCTTCCACTGCGAACTGAGGCGTTTGTCCGCCGCAGCGCCACTGGAAGCCGTTCAATATGTGCATATTTGGGCATCGTATCCCATCGATTGACTGAGCCTCAAATTATTCGTAGCTTTAGCTCCCTGCGCCCGACTGGTTTTGGTTTGGTGGTTGACTAAAGTAAGAAAAAAGCTGGTGGGCTGGTTTTGACGGAAGTAGCATTCGGATACGAAAGCTGAAAAGCCTCGAGATCGTTAAAGATCATGGTTATAGACATCACCGCGTCTATATCGGGCATGGGGGTCCGTTGAGCTGGGCTGGAGACACTGCTGGTATGACGATGGATCATGAATGAAACCCCTCCAGCAGTAAGGAGCAGAGCAGAGAAACCACTAAACTGAGTGATAAGGACCCGCTAGATCTTTCTCCTTTGAGACCTGATTCCGGAGGAAATTCGAGAAAAGTTCGCATCTAAAAGGAAACAAAAAGTCCCATCGCCCTAAATCGAGGCCGAAATGTAGGAAAACGTGAGCCTGAGACCTGAGACCTGTGATATGCTGGTGCATCAACCTTAAAGTCGGCTAACCATACTCTTGGGCGGCAGAAGCCTGCCGTGTCTAGCGGTGACGGAAGATGCCACAAAGTCCGCGATGCGTGCGGTGCATCAAGGTCTTAGTTTGACATCCATTGGCTCCGATGGTAAGGATGGATGTCCCGGGACGCCGGCGCCATGCAGCCATGCACCAGAGGCTTGGGACAAGATGCCCACGAGGCTTGGTGAAATGCTATGCGCCAGCCGAACGTTGAACTTTTAGCCCATAGCCACGTCTCTCGTAAGTCGATAACTTGCCGTCCAATCGATTTCAGCCACGTTCCCGGGGATGTTGAGTAGCTTTGGTCTGCTCAGAGACATGGCCGCATGCTTTCTCTCCACGTTGCCGGACCACCTCATTTTGGATTTGGATGGACAGGTCTTGCTGGCCGCCAGAGGTCGAAATTACCTTTTCGAGTCGTTCGAGGGCTTGAAATCGAGACCCCTTGGCGGAATGGAGGCTGCATATACCGTCTGCATGCTTCTTGTGCGGTGAGGTGTCAAAGGCATGCACCTACGGACACAGCACATACTGTGAGATATGATCCATCCAGATGAAGTTGTCTAAGACCAGTCAGTTGGGGTCTCGTACAGATGCCGGTGCGACGGAGTTGCTTCTGGACCCCAAAGTGCTGGGTACCAGGGGTAAGAGGGAAAAATGTGAAGGGCGATGATTCGTCAGAAATCGACGCGGCCCCTGTCCGTCAGGAGCGCCACAGTGATCGGCAATCCCGTAAGCTTACCACATTGAGATCGGGGAATAAACGAGTGCGTACTCGAGCTCCTGTCAACCACAGACGTCGCGTTCTGAAATCTCAGTGGCGCTGTTTTGCTGGGACCGCGCACCGAAACGGTTCGAACGAGGGACGGGAATCCCCTCGTACGACATGAACAGCGCGTCCGTCACTATCGACAGCGCGCTTTCACTAGAGCCCAAGCTAGAAGACTGCTGTTACTCAAGCAGCAATGAGACGGAGAGTTGAGGTTGCGTGCAGTCGGCCAGGTATGACCGCACCAGGCTCGGTTCAGTCAGTGGCTTTGATGCGGGCAAGACAGCTTTAAATTCGGTGCATCATCCGGGACGATGTTGGAGACGGGATGGATGCTCTGGAACGACAAGGGTGTCGATATTGATCTGCGAAACGTTTGGAGAGCCCAATTGGCGATGAATCCCGGCTCATGTTGTCTATGGCTTCTGGTTGGACCATCTGCCACAACCGTCAAATTGGTAATGAGCCCGAGGCCAGCCAGAAGACTGCCGTTAGAAATGGAGCCATGTAGCATCCGATTGTGTAGTGACACTAGTTGACGGAATTAAGGCCGGGCTGCCACAACGTTACTAACGTCGGAAGCCGACAGCGAGGAGCGACAACATGACATATTGACCGAGCGGCTCAACAGCTGGGGTTCGAAGCGAAGCGAATGGCTTTACCGCGCGGAGGCAGCCGACTCTAATGCAGTCCGAGCTGTCGTACTATCGTGAGGCGCTTTCAGCAATGGGCAAACGACTCAATGTTTGGCTCGACTGACGCGATATGGCGTCTAAGTGTGCCGTTGTAGGTGAGTAGCGCGGCATAGCCCTGCTGGATCGGCGTAGGGCGGTCAACTTTGGCGTCAAGTCTCAGCTTGACCGGGGCAGAGAGTTCAGCGGGACTCTCTTGGTCGGGTGGAGACAACAGCAGCGCCAGGGCCATGGACCAAGATCGAAGTAGTGTATTCGTAGTCTAGAGCGATTGCTTGGGATGGGCGGGAGTGACGCAGATGGTGGAGGTGAAGCTGGATGACGGTGTTGGACTTGGACAGCCCTTGGTGCCCTTATGCGCTAGGGTCAACCGTGTAAGGGAGGGCGAGGCGGTGGGTGGTTAGTCTGTAGTTCGTTGCCATATTGAACATGCTTTGCTTTGGCGCGGTTCCGTTTTGGTGACCATTGCCGAGACGTCTCGGGGAATGAAGTTAGGTTCCGTTCTCTAGGTCACATATCGAGTTGAGGATGGCTGCGGCTGAAGACAGTGCAAGGGTCGTCTTGAAATGGCGGGCAGATTGAAGATTGAAGACTCAGAGAGAGGAATGTGAAAACCTGGAGGGCAATGAGCAACAAGATTTGCAGTCCGAGTGTGCCAATCTGGACCCAAGGTAACCGACCCAGCTCAAGGTATCCGTTACCTACACAGACTAACGGCAGTATTAACGAATGCGAAATGACGACGATGCAGAGAAAAGTCCGAATGTTGCACATAATAGTTCCTACCTTGTTAGGCAATAGGGTGTCAGGTACGGAGTACTTCCCGTCGTACGCATGGCAGGCCGCAGGGCAGGGCAGGGCAGGAACGGTAGCACCGAGCCCCCGCCAGTTACCCAGGCATCAGGTCAGGGACGGAGTCGGTAAGGTAGGGACGATGGACGTGACATCCATCACATGGTGGCATTTGGTGGCATCGCAGCAGGTGCTGTTTACAACTAAACCCTAAAACAGGATTAGCGCCGTCAACTGTGCCCCATTTCTCGGCTCTCACCGGGCTGGGAACGGCCTTGGTATGGCCCGTGCTCGTGGCTGATGGTCTGCACTTGCCGTGGTGCTGCGTGCCTTGCGTTTTTTCTTCCAAAGTGCAAGTGCATCTCCGGTGCAGACTGCAGAGTAAGGTACAAAGTGCAGACCGACCCTGTCCCGGTCATGTTTTGCTTAGCTAAGGCACCAAAAAACACCATCAACACATCAGATGCAGTGGACGCAGCACGCGTAGTAAAGTAAGGTAGGTGGACGGCCGACGGCAGGCCGCAAGAAAAGGTACACGGATCCACCTCCGCTAGCAAAAGACTCTTGGGAACTTGGGCTTTGAGAGCCGTCCCTGCCGTTTCTTCCGTCAAAGTCCAATCGCCTTGGTGTCCGGCCTGCCAAATGCCGTTGCTTTCCTCGGCGCCTACGACGACTGATCCAACATTACGTAGTCTTGTTAGCCCTACAGTCATCATCTACCTCCACTTTGGCATTCTCTTTCCACTTTACTACCTTGTTCTCATGTTCGTTTGTTCTCGTGCTTGTTCAGTACTGGTTTTGTAGTACAGTGATTGTATCTGATAGTGTAAGGCGAGGTAAGGCATGCTGTGTGGTTAGATTGTTTCTTCCCTGGGACCCCCCCTCCCCGCCAAAGGCCCAAAACACACCCAGCCCAGCGAAAGTTGAAGGTGGTGGACAGTGGACCTGGTGCGTGCCGACAACCTTAGCTCGAACCCCTCCACCACACATCCACGCCGCAACGCCGCGGCGCATCTTGAGCCTTGAGCCTTGAGGTACCCTGCTCCAGGTCCTCCTTCCTACCTTACGGATACTCCAGCACATTCTACATTCCTCACATTTCTTCACTCCTCCAACCCGAACACTCCGTTCACTCCATTTTCTCCTTCTTCCATCACCTCAGCTCGCTTTCTTTTCGAGGCTGTATTGCATATCCGCGCCGTCATTGCTTTTTACTGCCACCCCAGCTCACACCTCCGTTGCGCCCAGCTAGCTACCTACTGAATCATTCTCCATCCCAAATCTACCTACCCAACTGTACCGAGTACCTTTTGCCTAAGCTCTGCCGAAGCCGTCTTCTACCCAAATCCGTCTCACAAGCCGGCTCCAAAGCATCAAAAGAGTCAGCTAGGGTCCTTAGCCACCCTTGCTGCAGGATCCCTTTCCCGCTTTGAGATAGATCCCTCTGCTAGCCCTCCTCCTCATACCGTAACCTACTGGTAAGCTTGTCCACGCTCCTCCAACCAGTTTCGCGCTCCAGGAAGGCTGACACTGCTCTTGTGCTCACCAACTTAGTCTTGAGACCTAACCACGCGCATTCTCGTCCCGTCCCTACACCTCAACCACGACCTCCTCGCTTCCCCTCACCATCTTCTGAACTCGCGACAACCCTACTTCAGCTTCGTCGCCCATCTATAAAGAGGTCCGACCCCGAAATCCTCCTTGCCAACCCACTCCTCTTCGAAGACCATCTCGCCAAATCAGAAACCTACCTACCACCTCGGCTTGTCGGCCTCGGGTCACCAAATACACACAGACCGGGTCTGAGGAAAGTCTCGCCGTCTAAACAACATGTCAGGATATCCGGGCCAGTACGGAGGATACCAAGGCGGCCCGCCGCCGCAGCAGCAATACGCGCAGGGCAGTTACTACCCGTATGAACTTCAATCTTCATTTTACGTGTGCGCGCTTCGTCACTAACATGAAGAACAAAAGCCCTCCGCAGCAAGGATACAATGGATACCCTCCCGCTGGGTCGGGGTACGGTTACCAACAGCCGTCGCCTCAACCCTATGGATACAACCAGGTACGGCTATCTGCTACCAGTGTCTAAATCTCGTCGACTAATGTCATCTTTAGCCCCCTCCTCCGCAACAATACGGTGGATATCAGCAGCCTCCGCCTCAACCGAACTACAACAACCGCCCAGGTGAGTTTAAAAGCGGGACGTCCAATATGGAAATCGTAGAGTTAACAGTTGTCGTTGTGAAGGAGTACCCACCGCGAACTCAAATGCGTACATGCACGGAAACCACAACGCTCCTCCGCCACCGCCCTCAGCACCACAGAGATTTGGACATGGCGCGCCTACCAACTACAACTTCCAGTACTCCAATTGCACCGGCCGGAGAAAGGCGTTACTGATTGGCATCAACTACTTCGGCCAGCGCGGTCAACTGCGTGGCTGTATCAATGATGTGAAGAACATGTCGGCGTACCTCGTCGACCGTTTTGGGTATAAGAGGGAGGATATGGTTATCCTCACTGACGACCAGCAAAATCCCATGAGCCAGCCTACGAAACAGAACCTCCTCAGAGCCATGCATTGGCTTGTGAAGGACGCGAGGCCCAACGACTCCCTTTTCTTCCACTATTCAGGTAAGCTGCGAAAAACAAGACGATTCTGCTGATGGACACTAATACCTCCAGGTCACGGTGGTCAAACAAAGGATCTGGATGGCGACGAGCCTGACGGATATGATGAAGTCATTTATCCGGTAGATTTCCGCCAAACCGGTCATATTACAGACGATGAGATGCACAGAATCATGGTTCAACCTTTGCAGGCTGGCGTGAGATTGACTGCTATCTTCGATTCTTGTCACTCGGGTACTGCACTCGATCTCCCTTACATCTACTCGACCCAGGGTATCCTCAAGGAGCCCAATTTGGCCAAGGAGGCCGGCCAAGGTCTGCTCGGCGCCATATCGTCATACAGCCAAGGCGATCTGGGCGGTGTGGCGAGCAACATCATGGGCTTCTTCAAGAAGGCAACCACTGGCGAAGATGCTTACAACCGCACCATGGCCACGAAGACGTCGCCTGCTGATGTAGTCATGTTATCAGGAAGCAAAGATGACCAAACTTCGTATGCTACCCCCTTCTTTCTGTTTTGATGATACCCTTTTGTTTTGATTGCGCTTTACGGATGCTCTAGAGAGTCCACAGAAAAGCCCCTTGATTATGTACTACTTCCCCTGGTGGGATGGCAAATTCTGGATAATGGAGGTGAAAGCCAAAGAGGAAAAGCCTGGGGCGTGCATGTCTTCTTGATATCTTCTTATATTTTCTTTACTTTACACCTGCTATCCCAGGCCAACGATAACCTCAATGCTCTAGAATAAATTGCAGCCTACTTGCGGCTGTGGTTTGATTCTAGAGCGACGAGTTGCGTTGGGTCTGTCTCGGTCCACGAGTGTGGAAAGAGCGATGACATCAAGAACGCTATCAGTAAGCTGTATCTATACTAACATCATCTCGCAGGGCCGATGCCACAATTGCTTCTCAGGCTACCGGTGCCATGTCGTGGGCCTTCATCACGGCCATGAAGAAGAACCCTCAACAGAGCTACGTGCAGCTCTTGAACAGCATCCGTGACGAGCTTTCGACCCGCTACACGCAGAAGCCTCAGCTCTCCTGCAGTCACCCTCTGAGTATGTTCTCTCTCTCGAATGAAGCGAACGAGCATCTCTGTTATTACCACGGCTAACATCATCGCAGACACCAACCTCTTGTTCGTCATGTAAATCATAACCCTGTGTGTCAACGGCCGGTCCGCCTTGTATATGTCATAATGCCCTACTTCGGCCTGGAAACATAAATACTCAGGTTTGGTTAGACGTAGGTAGGCATAGGTCATCATTGAAAAAAGGAATCGGTTGGGATGGCGAAAATTGAGGATTTTGGGTATCATTTGGGCGGTTTCATTTTGTTTTTCTGAGTCAAGTCTTCTTTGCCGCACTCTGACGCCTATCCCGTCTCTCGCACAGCTGAGATGTCAAGTACCCTCACTCGACTGGTTCTCAGAACTAGACAATAAAAAGTAAATTTGCGTCACTTCAACACGGGAGTGACTTTGACCACCCGACTCCATGAGATATCGCAAAGTTGTTTGGGGAAAGCAAGCAGGGAATTAAACGTCTGTTTAGGTATTCATGCCTCCCTTTCCAATTTCTTCATCATGCAACCTAATGCCGTGCTTGGAAAAAATCCATGTCCTAAACCCAGACAAAGTTAAAATATGACAAAAACTCCTTTCCCATCTTTCCCCCTTCGCCCAGTCATTCATTCTACCGATAAACCGACCCAACGGAAAAAAAAAAAAACAAAACAATGTTTTATGCTCGACGCCCAATACGCCAAAAGAGGGACGGGACAATGTGCCAACTGCCAAGCAGAGGGCCAATAACAGTACCGAATTCCCTCTCCTCCCAGTTGATCCTCCGTCCACTCTGGGGCTAGCTTGCAGATCCCTTTTTCCAAACGCGGACGATCATCAACTCCCCAAAGAGGAAATAGAGATGGCCTCGCTCGCTTACACTGCAACATCAAGGGTATTGCAGTAACAACTGGCTATGCAAAAACAAAAGAAGGGACCTTGAACAGGGGAAGACTTGAACACCAAAAATGCTAAAATGCGAATGCGGATGTTGCTGAATGAGGGAAGTGGGTGAGCGGGAGGGGACGTGCAGGGCCCCATGGTGTGGTGTGGTACCGGTAGCCACGACTGGTCCGAGATGATGCCGTGACATCTTCAGCTCGGCTGCAACGTGATGAATAGGGAAGGCGTTTCGCAGATGAGAGTTACCCTCTCGCAGACGTCCGAACCACCTTTCACCATCCCATCCCATCCACCGCTTTTTTTTCTCTTCGGGAACACCATACTCCGGGGGTATCTAGGGCGTGTAATCTGGGCTGGACCTCCAAGTCGAGGCTAGGCGAGACCGAATAGCAGACAAGACAGACTGTGACAAACAACAAATCTTCATTCAGGCCGCAACGTCGTCGGCATGCACGACCTTGAGCTGCTGCCGCCTCTTGCTCTTGCGCATCTCGTCGACGCAGTCGGCCAGCTTCTGGCGCGTGGCCTCGTGCTTGGCCCATTCGCGCGCTGAGATCTGCATCCTGGCAATGAAGCGCGCCATCGTTGCCACCGTCTTGAGCGTCGGGCGGCCGGACGACGCCGTCTGCTTCCTCGTCGTCGACGAAGAGGATGGCGGTGGGAGGGGCCTGCGGCTGCCGAGCAGCTCGCAGCGAATCTGCTCCAACTCACGCAGCTGAGCCTTGTTGCTGATTCTGATATTAGTATCTGGACCACTAAAGGAAAGTAGACAGCAAAGGGTACATACCATGCGTTGGCAATGTCGAGCTCCAGCTGCAAAAACTTCTTCGCGTACGCCGCGTCGGCGCGCATGCTGACCTCACGCTTCCACCGCGCCTGCATCCACTCCATCTGCAGCGTCATGCCGCGGAGCTCCTTGGTGTGCCTCGCGTCCGCGTTCTCGGCGGCGCGGATGACCGTCTCGAGCGCCTCGTCCGTCTGCCTCATTCTCTCGTCCGTCTCGGCGGCGAGTCGGGCTGCCCGCGGGTTCTTCTTCTCGGCCGCGGCCAGCGCCTTGAGGTCCCTGATGTCCTTTTGCAGCTTCTCTGCGGTCAGGCGGTATGCCGCGCGCTCGCCGCGTGCCCTTTCAAGCTTGCGACGAAGGGAGCCCTCAGCGGCCGTCAGCTCATCAATGGTCTCCTGCTGCTGGATGACGTCGTGTTCGAGCGCATCTGCTTCGCTTTGTGTTCTACGGAGCAATTCCTGGAGGTCTCTCTTCTCCGAGGACGACATATTTTCGATGTTGTGACGGCCGTGGGCTACAAGCTGACGGTCCTGCTCTGCCTTGTCAAGCTTCTGCTTTAGACGACGGAGAGCCTTTTCGTGGAGAACGGAAGCTTCGTCAGCATCGCGCTGGACATCTTCCAGGGCCTGCTCCAAAGCAAGCTTCTGATCCTCCAGATCATCAAGCTGGGTTTGTACATCTTGCTCGAACTGAGAGGCTTTACGTTCGGCATCGCGAGCCTTGATCTTGAACGTCTGAATGGATTGCTGTGCTGTAGATAGTTGATGACGTAGCTCAGTGACTTCGGATTTCCTGGCTGAGGGACTCGAGGATGCTGGAGACGTGATGAGGCGGGACATCTCAGCATCGTGGGCATTGCGCTCCAGCTCTGCGATTTGCTTCTTGAGACCCTTGACAACATCCTTGTGGGCTGCCTCACGCTGGAGGAGCTCACGCTCCTTCTGTCGCGCCGTGGAGAGATCACGGCGAATAATGGACATGTCGCTGTTCCCATCACCGATGTTCGCGGGAAGTTGTTGGGTCATCGCGAGCTGGTCTTCGTAGTCTCTGATGCGCCGTTCGAGCTCCCGTATCGTGCGTCGAGTCGCAACTGATTCTTGACCTTCCGACGAAGAAACTTCCCGCAGCTTGGCTTGAAGCTGGCGAATCTCCTGGTTGAGGCGATCCTCCTCTTCTGCAGCCTTCTCGATCTCGTCCTCGAGAGACTTTTCGACGTTCTGCATTTGCTCAGCTAGAGCAGCGTTCTCGTCCTTTAGTCTCCGTACTTCGTTGTCAAGCTTCAGCTTCGACGTCCTCAAGTCTAGGCGTTCTCGGTCGATGCGGAGTGTCTCTTCGCCATTCTGGTGCAACCGCTTCATCTCGCTTTCAACCTCGTCACGCTCCGCCCTTGCTTCAGCCAATGAGCTGCGTAAAGAGTGCATTTCGAGGTTCAGGTTGGCGAGTTGATCTTGCAGCGTTTGTTTTTCGCGGGACACCCTGTTTACCTGCACAGTCGACTCCGAGATTTGAGTTTGCAGCCTGTCCTGAAGCGCTTCCTTCTCCTTGTTCAGCTTCGATACGAGTGATGTAGCCTCGTCCAGCTGAACTCGAAGTCGTTCGATGGCGTGATTTGACTTGCTGGCGTTCTCTTGAGAGATCGAGGCCGTACCACGGTGTGCCTCATCGAGCTCCAGCTTCAGCGCGTCGCATTCTTTTCTTGCAGCTTCCAGTTCCTCGCGAGAATGTTCTGATTCCTCGTCCAAAGTTGTTTGGAGGACCTCCACTTCATCCTCCAGTCCCTCGATCTTCTCGCTCTGCGCTTGGTAGTCTAGCTGAGTTTGTCGAAGCTCATCCTGAACTTGTGATAATTCATTCCGCAACTCATTAAGCATAGATTGTCGTGTCTCGAGGTTTTGCTGAAGGTCCTCGATTTGCCTTGTGAGAGATGCCCTTTCGTCCTTGTGGCGTTGAGCTTCACTCTCTAGTGCTTCCTGCAACCTTGATTCCTTGGTTGATAAGTTGCCTTCGGCCTCGCGCAGAGCTGCAATCGTCCTTTCCAGCCCTGAGGCTTTCTCCTCTGCCCATTTGCGTTCCGAGTCCAGGGTTTGGCGGTCCGTTTCCCATTTTTCGCTGTCGTTGTCGTAGAGATTGTCCTTCTCCCGAATCTCGGCCTGGAGGTCTGAGATCTCGTCATTAAGCCTGTCGATCTCATCTCTGTACTGGCTGCGGATATCCCGTTCGATTTCAAGGGCATGGTCCCGCTCTTGGGCGAGACTCTCCTCCAAGTCGGTAACGTTCTTCTGAAGGCGCGTCACATCGCGTTGTAGAGAGTCAGACTCGCCGGTCAAGGCTTCATGACGACTCTGCAGCAGATTCTTCTCGTCGAGCGTGGACTCCAAGTCCCTTTTAAGGTCCTCCACTTGAGCCAACAGCGACTGGCGTTCGCGATCAGAGAATTCCCGTTCTTGACGACCCTCATACGCGGCATTCTTGAGGCTGTCCTTCTCTGTCGTTACGTCGGAAAGCTGCTGTTCGATTCTGGCAAGTTGTGACTGGTGGTCGCGCTCTGAGGCTTCGCGGGCACGGCGATCTTCCTTGGCTGCGCTCTTGAGCTCGTCATTTTCCTTGATCGTTTCGGAAAGCTGCTTTTCGATACTCGCAAACCTGGTGTCGGCTTCCTCCATCTCAGCCTGCAGGCGCAAAAGTTTCTCCTCCTTTTGACGCGAGAGCCCCTTGGTGGCTATTGACTTGTTTGCCAACTCCTCTTGGAGTTCTTCCAAATCACCCTTTGCTTGCTCCTTGTCTGCAACCGCCTGGTTGAGCTTGTCTTTCATCTCTTCGACTTGCTCTTCCAGCCGACGGACATTGGTTTCCAGATCGTCAATGGTGTCTTTTGCCTCCTCCAAATCCTCGTTGGACTGTCCCTGTTGCTCGAGCTCGATCATTCGTCTTTGAGAATCCTTCATCTTGTCCTCCACGTCTTCCAGCTTCGCCTTGAGGTCGTCGATTTCGTCCTCGTGGTCCCCAAGAAGGCGCTCCTTCTCGCGAAGTTCTGCTTCCAGATCGCCGATCTCATCTTGCAGTTTATCCACTTGCCCTTGATCGTGCTGTCCCTGACCTAACTGGCGCTGCATGTCGTCGAGATCGGCTTCTCTGTCCTCTAAAGCTTGTTGTAGTCGCTCAATCTCTGCCAGCTGTTTCTGGTCTGCGTACTTCTTCTTGGCTCTCTCTTGTAATTCCATCATCTGCTGTCGGTAGCTTTCGAGGTCCTTCTCAGCCGACGTCAGGTGCTTCTTGTACTTGTGAAGCTCCCTCGTCATGGTCACCTTGTCGACCTTCAGCTCGGTGTTCTCTTTTAATGCCGCCTCGCTGAAGCCGGGACCGGCCTTTCGTAAAGCCTCCTCGAGGAAATGAATCTTCAGTTTCAGGCCAAAGTTTTCCTTTTCGATTTTATCGATTACGCTCTCCTGCTCCCGTAGCGACAACTGGTTCCCGTCCTGCAGAGGGCCTTTCCCGTCGCGTCGCGGCAACACTACGAGCGGTGTAGATGCAGTACTCGTGCTGTCGACCTCGGGGAGTGGCGTGCGATCCACAAAGGACCGAGACTGGTAC